TAATGCATACTACGTTTTCTTGAGGTCTTCTGGATATATTGAGACATGTATCGAGGGAAATCTGGTGGAATTAAAGGTGTATTGGCTGACTGAACTGGTGTAATGGAATATTACTACCACCTGGTCATTACAAAATTAATCATCTCCAGATTACAGTACCTATTATCTTTGCTCCTCTGAGCTCTTCTTCAAAGAAACGCTTGCTATACAAAGGGACTCCAACCTAATGTTGAGATATAACTATTATTATATGCATGATTTAGAGTATATTTGTTTAGCAATGGATTTATTTTCTCAAAAACGTTTAACTTCCAAATTTTAGTCTGTGACACAGCACATGTATAACATGAAGAGCAATTTTAAAATTCTCTGGGCAAAAAGATCCAATTGGGCTTCCAAACAGGGCAAAATAATTAAGGGATGACCGGTGTTTGTACAAGCCCTCTCAAATTCTCTCTATTACAAGAGAGAACTCTCTAGTACCAAAGGGGTTCTACATGGTAATAGAGGCTCTTAACCAACTAAAGAAGAAAACGATAGACCTTTGTCACGCGGCGGACATTTTGGCTTAGGAGATTTTAAAAGGTTTGTTGATGCACGGCTAGCCTCGTGACAAAGGCTGTACAGCCAATAGACCGACTGCAAATATGGCGACGATTTCATCAAAGCAAGGCTTTTCGGTAGCAACCATTGCTAGGGGCTGGTCGCTTGTTTATATGCTAATGCGAGTCCGCTACCTTATTGTTTATTCACTCTGGAAACAATAAAAAACATTCAAAAAGAAGTTACCGTCAGTTCGTTGTGTTAAAATAAAGATCGGTGCTTTTTAATTTGCCTCGAAAAGTCGACTCCCGATAACTCGAACCTTCAAGGGAAATCGAAAAAAGTTCGAGTTATCGGAAGCTCGATAGACTGTAGCCTCCCACGCAGACGTTCTTAGGTGTTCGTCAAGCGTTCCTGCCCCACGAACGTCTGCTGACTTGAGTGGAAAAAAACGTAGACCAATCACAGCAGACCTTGAGAAATTTTGCGCTTGACTTTATAGCTCCAGAAAAGATCAGAAAGGTCCGATGAAAGGTGAAGACCTTACACTTCTAGAACAAACTACTCAGTTAACTCACAAGCGTTCGTACTGGTGGCTACCCTTAGAATCTCGTTGAGAAAAATTTCCTCGGAGGTTAAATTTGCTGAACGGAAGTCGGCTTTAGGGACGGACCACTAGAAAATTATTCGCGCAAGGGAAAATTAAATGAAAAAAATTCATACAAGGAATCTGATAACGAAAAAAAATTCCTGCGGCTCGAAAATTCCCCCCTCCCTTAACTTTTCTAATGGTCCGTCCCTTACTACAAAACAATAACGTGTGAAAAAGAATTCTGCCTTACAAGTCAGTCTTACAAGGTAACCCCGCCGTTACGTCACCCAAAGAAAAACTTTATGAGCAAATGACATCTAGTCCAGCCTTTACAGAGAGAAATATACAAAAAGCCAACGCTTATCTCCTATATTCTCGTCAGGAGCAAAAATCTTTGGTCAAGTATCACACTCTACAGAGCTTGTACCTATGTGTTTGGCTTATCAACACTTTGACATCAACAGCGCCGATTGGATCTCCGATAATCTGCATGTGATCTCCAGCCGATATTTGCGAACAGTGGGAAAGGAATTCAGCAGACGTTCGTGAAGAAAGTCTGCGTGGGAGGCTAGAGAGATTGCAAAACAGTCGGTTTTTTTCTCAAAATCAGTAAAGAAATCGGTAAAGCGTGGCGTAAGAGTCTTACGCGCGCGAAGCGCGCGAGCCTCACACGCCCGTATGTGCTCTCTGTTTTCAGCCTCGCGCGTTCCAGAACTTTTGTTTGACTACTCGCGCGTACTTGAATACTGACGCAAAAATACGGACTGTTTTGCAGTCTAGAAGCTCGATGAAAATAGCCGGGAGTAAGGAAAAAAAACAGTTTTTACTGCACAGTGAACATTTTAATCACAGTGAATTGTAGAAATGTTAAGTGAAAATTGAAAGATACTTCTAGATTATAAATCAGAACGTAACCGAACAAAATGTTGCCTAAATAGAGTATGCGTTTTACTGTTTTGAGAAGTAAAGCTGTTTCACCTTAGACTTGTGACAAACAACATCAGCCTCCACTAGTAAACTATATGCCTACAACACTTCAATGGGAATTCAAAATTCAATGTTTCAGACGCCAGTAGACTGGTTTTTTCCCGACTTTTTGGGCTCAAAACATGGTTCGAGTTATCGAGGGTAAAATAATATAGATTGAAATGGAATGGCTTGGCGACCTCTCACGTGGTGATTTTCACTTAGGGGATGTTGCCGAATAGGAAACTTGACGATTGAGGGAATAGCATCATCCTTTAAATATCGACGACCAGTTAAGGTTACACGAAAATCATTTATCTTGAAATGCAAGGTCTCGTCGAATTTTCACAAGCCACTCCTGAAGTATAAGTCGTATCGAGAATATAAGAGATCTGAAACGATAGGTTAAATGAACAAGTATTTTGAAGGTAGTACCTTAAGTCTTACAGCATCCGATGGAAAGCAAAGATAAGTGATCTTTTTCCCACCCGGCCCTACACGATAACCACTCTTGCACCACAAAGGCACACAACAACTATCCGGCATGTTTCACTATTTGTGCCGTCAAGCCAGTGAACGTTATATAAACCATCATTTTTCTGTTTCGTGATTATTTCCGCTTTAGACGTAGGTTAGTCATTTTAGAGATAATAGGGACTTTAAGATCCGAGACGCGACGGCTGTAAGACGCGACAAGAAGTAAATTTTCAAAGAGGGGACATGTTGCGCATGCTCAAGTCGTTGTCCTGGTGTCACCACGTCGCGTCGAGAACGTGGGTTTTGCGTGTTTGACGTTCTGTATAAAACGTGAGTATATTTGTTCCTGTGCTTAAATTAAATGATGATATATTCCTCTAAACATGTAAAATCAGCCTTCTAGGATCATTGGACGTAATTTTATGGCGACATTTTAGATCGCAGAGATGGCACGATTTTGATTATTTTTAAATTTCTTTCAGCTGTCCGAAGCTTGTAAGATGGCAGCGCCTTCGACTTCGACTTCAAGCGAGGCTTGCAAGTAAGTCACGAGCTAAAACTGCAAATAGTGAAAGCAGGAGTCTTCTGCATACTCTTCTCGTCTCTTGTACCATTGCAATTCTCGATTTATTGCGTTCATCGTCCGCTAAAAGCCAGTTTTAAGCCTGTATTATTTTATTTTATTTTATTAAACTGCGTGTGTTTTTATGCTTCCCTTTAGTTCAGTAATGTTTTGGACTCATGATCATGAAGCCATTCTATGCAGAGAAGTCGTCAATGTAAATCCCTACACAACTAAGAAAGGGTCAACACAAAGAAGCAGAATGTGGGAAAAAATAGCAGACACCTTGAACAAATTCACTGTGCTGAAATTCACAGGGGCACCCAACGAGGATATAGTTCAAAACCACTTAACATAGCATTGTTGAACGTATTTTAGTATTTAAACGGTAGATATAGGCATATTTTTATCCCCTAAAAACTTTTCATCTGTTCGGATTTCCTAGCTGAAAGTCTAGTGATCCCAAAATTATAGGGATCAAAACTTACCTTTTCGAAAATTTTAGCCAGGAAAAGGCTCCCGAAAATTCTAGGTGGCCTTTTTTAGGGTAAATATCCGTTTAAAATGGGTAATTATACCATTTTGTAGATGTCCGAAAATCCTAGGAGAGGCAGGCAAGCAAGAAATTTTACAACAAATGTTCCGAAAATTCTAGTTCTCAAATCGTCTACCGAACAGATATTTTCCCGAAAATTGCGGTTGGGTGCCCCTGAAATTCAGGGTTGATAAGCGATCAGTCCGAGACCACGTGGGAAAAAGCAACTGGGATAACTCCCCATGAGCCAACAGAACTAGAAAACCTATTGGATATGATCATCGCGTTGGAGGAAAGTGGCGAAGCGGAATTACAGGAAACACAGGGAACAGCTAGCAAAAAACGTCAATACGATCGGGCTAAAGCGGAAGATGTTAGGCTAAAAGCGAGGGAGAAGCTGTCAGAGACGAAGAAAAGAGGTTCATCAGCGGATGAAAGCGATGACAAACCGAAGCGTCAACGAAGAAGTGGAGGTGATGCTATCAAACAAAGCACAAACAAAGCATTTCTTGGACTTTCTTAAATGATGCCATGGCTATTTCTGCGAAAGAATTGCTGAAGAATCAAAATGATAAAGAGCGGTTTGCAGCCGCGTCGTCTTGCATCGCGACGGAGATCTTAACTTTACTTTTCGCGCGCAAACGACGGCGTTCTACAGGTCCAGTCCTTTATCAGCCACCGCGTTCTAGAAGTCATCGCGTCCCAGATCTTAAAGTCCCTAATATCTGTGAGAAATCCTTATTATTGGTCAATTTGTTACGCACGGATTACCTTTAGCAAAGTATAATAGTCGTTGTCTTATTTACTCGCTAGTTTTTTTCACATCAGTCCAGCCTATGTACGTTCTTTCCTTTTTTACCTTATAAAAAGTAATTTCAACTTTGCTGGTTATGCTGCCCTATCTCGGCCAAGGCCAAATATCGGTCGAGGTAGCGGAACACTATTTATAAATGTACAGCAAAAATGACATACAATCCAATTCTAAAAATTGAAGATCAGCTTTTAGAATGATAATAGCGGAGCTCCACCCGCGCGCGAAGCGCGCGCGTGGACGGAGCCCCATAGCTAAGGAAATGTGGTAATCTACCCATCCGCGAAAATTTGGTAATCACGTGACCGTACGCCCGACCGTCCGTCCGCAGCACAGGGCAACCAATGTTTACTCTCACACTTTCTAGCTAGTTTGGGAGCCCAATAAAAAACTAATTGTTCATTAATGTTGTGATCAATTGACAGCTGTGAAAACAGGATATCCGCTGACCAGTATCACCTGACCGTATCGCGGGCTCAAGTGTCGACCCATCGAGGTCGAGTACTTTTTTGAAGTTATGCGCTGACAAATTACCAGTTTCAAATGATCGCAGGCTCAAGTCTATTTTACCCAATGATTCATATGAAATATGTTGTGTTTATGTCACTATGGCCCCGCACTGTCAAGATTTTGATTTCAAACTGACCTCGGAGGCGAAAATTCAGCCACTTCTGTAAAAATAAAGGCGGGAAGACCTTTTCTTACCATGGTCACGCGTTGGTCACGCTCTACGTCCAATTTTTGGACTCTGATTGGTCAAAATTTGACAGATGAGTTCATGCGGAAAATTTATGCAGCATCTTGAAAGTTGTTTACTTTGACAGCTAAAGCTGACAGAGTTTTGTCTCAACTTGTGATGTTTTTAACTGTCTTTTCCACTGGATGTACAAAATGAAATATAGCTGCTATCAAGAGTCTTCTGTTATCCATGGTTTGTTTATTGGGTTATCCATGGTTTGTTTATTGGGTTTTTGGTTGAGAAATGCGTCGCTTGACAAAATTGGGTAATCCGATTTCGGATGGCATCGTTTTCGTCTTTCACCTTGCTCAATGCGTAAGAGGGTTTAAAAGCCTCAAGATACTGTGGCCTTCCTTGATATCTTTCAGCAACTGAATCTCGAATGGTAAGCCTAAGTAATTATTGTAATTGATGTTTGTTTTTGTTATACCTAATTTCATGAAGTCGAGCACAGTTTATGGGACAAGTTTTTGCACGTTTGTTAAGATTTGAGTCAATGATCTGATCTAGTATCAGGTTTGATATAAGCTTACAGAATTTTAAAAGGCCTTCAGATATATTTTCTCACGGCAAATAGGAAAAAAACGTTCCGAAGAATATTTAGTTATAAATTTGGTTGTAGAAAGAAAACTTTGAGTGATTTTCTTGCTTCGAGGAGTTCATCTTTGAAAAAAAAACAAACACCGGGAGGCCGGCTGAAAGTAAAACAAAATAGACTTAAGCTTAAGCTTTAAACTTAAAGACTCAGGATTTTTAGAGACACTTTAATACTTGTCTTCGTGAATGAAAATTGCTGTCTCTGTAAATTTCTTACCGAATTAACCGAATTATATTTCTTTTATTGATTGTTAGTAGTCTCTCTTGCAATTTTAATCGCTTGTCCGTGGTGTTATACCTGCCAACTCTCACGCCTTAGGCGTGAGTCTCACGCCTGCGGGTTGAAAACTTCGATCTCACGCCGGCTCACGCCTGCGAGCCAATTTCTCACGCCTGATTGAAAAATGTGAGTTGTTGCCGTCCTGCACGTACAATTTCCAAAAATATGTTAACTCAGACCCATGTAAGGAACGAAAACCATGTGTAAAATGAATAAATGGCAATACCTTCCTCGCGATCTCTGATTTTTGAAGTGAAAAGCACCGGGAGCGAGCTCGCCTTTGGCAGACTTCGGCAGACTTCGGACGTCTTCGGAAGACTTCGGACTTCTTCGGGAATCTTCGGAAAGGATCGTGTCGTCTTCAAAAATCCCAGCACTCCCAGGATAAAAATCTCACGCTTATATCTCAGAAAAAGTTGGCAGGTATATGGTGTTTGTTTTCATCGTTCATGAACATCGCTTGCAGGAGTACTTAGAAATGTCGCGCGTATCAAACGCTTTATAAGATTACACATCGTTATAACTGGAACCATTAAATAACAAAAAATAATGATAATAAATTCGTTATTATGTTGAAGCGTATCTCCATTAAAGTTCATTCAAACACTCGACCACACTGACATCTCGCACTAAAAATGAGAACCGGCTGGCCGTATGGGTGATTTTGGAAATTTTTTGAACGGTTTCGCTAAAAGCCCACGATTGATCGTCCTGAACATTGAAAAATTGTGAAATGCCGTATGCTGTCCGAGGTCTGTATGATAAAAAGTACTGTTTCACCTCAGATGTGATGTATGAAAGGTATAAAAGGTTGGTTTACACACCCTCAGATTTGTTGGCAAGAATTTGTAAAGTAAACCTGTCGAACGCAAAAAAAAGGGCGGCCTGATTTGTTTTCCAAGAATTTATTTTCGAGGCCTAATCTACTGTGATCAAGAGCCATTATGGCTCTTGAATGTGATAGAAGATGTTTGCTATTTTTTGGGTGTACATACATGTATATTTAGGCTATCAACTCGATGTAAGATGTTTCACTCTAAAATAAGAATGTGCCCTTAAGTTAACTGATTTGTGGATTACAAGTTTATTGTTTGATTTAAAATATAAATTTATTAATGGGAGCTTCGCTTTTAGCCCTGGCTAAATCTATTTATAAAATAACTGAGATAGTACGCGTGATCTGATTGGTCAAAAACCTATGGTTTATTATACCGGTAAACCCATAGAAAAAGGCATCCGGACCACGAGCCATAAACAAAACCGGCTATTGATCTGCAAACAATGATTTTAGAAAGGCTAAAAAAAAGAACAAGTTACTTACCCAGCCCTTCTTAATATCAAAAGCGTTGGTTTCCACATTTTATTTCTGCCATAGCTTTAGAAGTAATAAAGTAGAAAGCTGGAAAGCAGTTTACATTTCACGACGATGCCAAATCGCAGAGAAAGACAACAACTGTGTGAATTTCTGGTGTAGAAAGTCTCCAGGAAAACTTGACCATGTGCAAACCGGCAACGAAACGGGTAGTTTTAGCATTCTTGATTTATTTTATGTCAAAATTAAATTCCTTAATGAAAGAAATTGTTCCAAAAAGAGATCTCTGATCAAGGTATGGTACAAAATCGGCCGCTGTAGGTTGTAAACAAGCTGCTAACGATGATGAAAGATGTCAGAGTTTCTGGCTGGTTTTTTCCAACATTGGCACAAATTATTCGGTGATATCGATGCTATAACCTACCTCAAACCACCTGACTTTACAAATCGACAAGTATTAACGACAATTTGTGGCTACGGCAAAGAAACCTTTCTCCACCAGTGACATATTTCCATCGGTCGCTGTACATGTCCGTGCATATAAAAGTTACATGCGACAACTTCGCAAATGCAGCCACGTCGTTACCGCAGCATTTCTTAATCATAATAAAGTCCAGAAAACAGATCTTAAACCACTGCGGCTTGTACTATGTGAATGAAGTCCTCCATTACAATAGCTGCCAGTTCCGTCTGTAAGCACGAAATTCTTACGGATCGACTCAACAAAATACAGCGGCGTACAGTCTGATGTTCAATTAATTTCTACTTCAGTAGTAAACAAACCATGAACGTATTTTTTCATTATACGTTCGCTTGAATAAATGTTGACTTTTCCTGTAAAACAGCTTTCATAAGTTATCATGTAATGAGTGCAAAAACTCGTGTTTTGAAGTGCTGCTGTTTGTTGTTTGATTGAACTGAGTTTGGAGAAAGTTCAGCGCTATTAAATCGTGAGTCATGATTGGCTTATGATGACTTTAGAGAGACGACATGACTTGATCAAGGTATTAAAACCATATTTTTTACCTAAAAGACTCCATTCTACTAAAAGTTATCTTATAAAAGCAATAGACCACACTTTCTATGGGTTTACCGGCGTGATAACCCACGCGGGATGTTGGGAGAACACGAGAAAAGCTTGTAAATCACGAGCCGAAGGCGAGTGATTTACAAGCTTTTCTCGTGTTCTCCCAACATCCCGCGTGGGTTATCACGCCGGTAAACCCATAGAAAGTGTGGTCTATTGCTTAAATATTATTTAAGCTTACATGTGAACCTTAAATATAATGAATAAAAAATATCAGGCAGTCAAAGTTATCGCGATCGCTGCAAATGAGTCTGTCTGTGATTGCTGTGCGTCAGTTGATCGTTCAATTTAGCATGATAGAAAAACAGTATTCAAAGCGTACGTACCAGATAGAAACCTTTTTCAGCGAAGAAAATTGACTTATTTTTGTCGAATTTAAAGGAAAATACGCCTGAGAAGCTGCCGTCTTTCCAGCAACGGCACAGGTAAACACAGGCAACCGGCCCCTAGCAACGGTTGCTATCGGAAAGCCTCGGTTCGGTAAAATCGTCGCCATATTTGCAATCGGTCTATTGACCCCCTGAAAAGGGTGCCTTAATATGAGTAAACGGCTAATGTAAGATATACCTGCCTAAATTTTACCGTGGTTTGTATAGTGGGGGTATGTAACTTGGTACCCCCCATCACACAAACGCCTGCGGAGACATTGCGACTTTGCAGAGCTATTTCTTCGTCCTTTTTTCCCAAATCATTCTCAAACTTGGCTACCGTGCATTTTTTAGGATCTTTTTTCAGCGGACCCGGGAGATTTTCACAAAAGGATCCATGTCAAAATTTTGAAAACCGAGTTGAAAGGGTATATTATCGTGCAGGAAAACAGTTTGAGAGCAAAAAAGGTTAACTGTAAACCATTGGTTTATTGAAGAAATGCTGTTGTTATCGATATTCTTTGTTATTTTTCTTGTTTGTTAATCTGTCATCTTCGTTCCGTTTTTAAACATGCATTAAGAAGCTGTTTATGTGTTTTGGACCCGCCTTTCCACCTTCAATCATTCCTTGTGCCCACAGTAAAATGAAGGAAAGAAGAATTACTTTTTTCCCCAGATATATGTGATGAGGCATCAATTCTTTAGACGTCATTCGAGATGTAACTTCGGCAGTGAACATTGATAGAATTATCATCCCAACAATCATCCAGACAGCGGAATAAATACGAGCCAGTAGAGACTTAGGAGTCTTATCCCCATATCTGAAGACAAAAGGAAAGAATTATTCTACACTACCGAGAACAAGTAATGCCATGCTCAGGTTAACTTTTCTCGAGCTTGTAAGCCACTGCCTCCTATACGGGAAAAAATGTATGAAAATTAACTTTGTTTCATTTTCATTTTCTTTTAATATTCTTCTAAGTGTATTACCAGATAATGTCACGGTAATTATGCCATTAATTTCTTACAGAAGTTAACAGTAACACAGACGCGACCGTTTGACCCAGTAAGGATTAATGTGGAGTTCTTGGAGAGAATCCTACTGAATATCACCATCATCGTCGTGTCTCTCCGTGTCATAATTTCTAAGGCCGCCATGCTGTCTGTCCTATTCTTTGGCCATATTCTTTCTCGTCCAACCTGCTATGTTCCATTCTTTCTCCACAGTCCTCCTCCAAGTCGTGACTTGATGCTACCTCTCGCTCTTCCGCGCGTTGTTCGATCCTAACGCCTACACTCGCCTGGTACATTGCCGTCATTCTGACCTCAGTCCAGAGTAAATGGCCTGGCCTAGCACAAATTACACCTACGTCGCCGCTCCTCACAACTCATGTTGATGTCTGCTTGCTTACTCGGCACTCTCCTTTTTGTTCTCTTTTGCTACCATTTGATCTTCGATATATTTCGTTGACAAAGTAGGCTCCAAAGCTAACCAAACTCTTCCTCATCCTCCATCTGTCCACCGTTCACCACAATCCTCTCCTTAATTGCTAGCCCATTCCTTAAAGTTTTAACTTTTCACACTGTTTTTCTTCATCATGACTCAATTCACCACCAGCAGGACAGATGCTGTGTTGTTGTTGGTCTTGTTGTTGTCTACAACTGCACGGTCAAAGCCTTTCTGCTATTAAGGGGGCAATCTGAGTGTTTTTTGTGGGAAATGATGTTGATTTAGGAAGAAAATAAGTCAGGGTAGAAAAGGTATACACATAAACCAATAAGTCCGCTTAAGGTGATTCCTTAGTAAAAGAACCTAACATAGATTGTAGATGAAACTTGGTACACTGATGTAACAAGTCAAGATAATGATAAAAAAGTAAAAAAAAGTGGGGGTCACCGTGCTCGTTTTGACGTCACAATGCTGAGAAATACGGCTATTTTGGACCCTTTGTCAAAAACCGCGCGCAGCCCAAAACTAGACAAAAAGGAGAGATTTTTTCGATGCAGCATGTGGTATCGCACAGAATTTGACTTTATTGTATTGTTTATCCACTTACATACCAGAAAAATTCCTTTTAATGCTCCTGTTTTTATTTTACGCTCCAAAGTAGAACTGAATTAACCCGTGATAGCTCAATCCGTACAATTTAGTAAAGTTGCCAAAAAACTGAACATAGATTTGTGCCAATTTTTTTGTCATCGAAACTAAGCACTGTCCTTATTAAAATCATGAAATAAAAAATGGGGGTCACCGTACTCGTTTTTGCGGTAGAGCTGCAGAAAGTGCGCACCAAATGCATTTTCTCCGATATTTGAGAGAGGACTGGGGCGAGTTTCAAAATAGAATGTATGTGAAAGTGGGAAGAAAGTATTAAAAAATCCGTTTTTACAGAATTTACATCGAGATATCACATTTAGGACGCAATGTGATAAAGAAAGCGTTTAAATGAAAATCGAAGTAAGTAAGCACAAGTTAAACATCCACTATCGAGGTTCTCCGTGAGGACGTCGAACTCAGCAACACGCGTACTGCTTACGTTATGCACATTTCCAACACACTGAGTCTCACCTCGGCAAGAAACAACCGCAAGCAAAAATTCCAATAGCGTTTCTCTTCAGTCAACTTCATTTTAATAATGTTACTTCACGTCCTCTTTTTTACGGCGGCCATCTTGTTATGCGCAGTAAGAGATGCGCAGTGCAAAAACCAGTAAGTCCGCTTAAGGGATCAAAGGCACCTTGTTGTGGTGGTGGACTATCAGGTATTTGTATACTTATCATTCACTTTAATTTACATTCTAATTTTTAACAACCTCCAAATCCAATATTTTCCAAGTTTCCAAAAATTTAAATACCCCTTCCCCGTATGTTTATTTTTACATTAAAAACATTCGAAAAATCACCCGAAAATTCTGCAAAAGTTATTGAACCAAGGCTGACTAACTGAGTCATTTTTTGATTGAATGAAATCTTGGCTTGATATTTAACCAGACTCTCCCCATAAAATCATTATATTTCTAAGTGTTCCAAAACTTCTCATGATGATCCAAAAGCTTATGGAATCGCATGGAATCTATGACGTGTGCGGGCATTTTTGTCCTTGTCCCTGTTTAGAGTTAGTCTCCGCTCATTCGCGTGTTCTAAGTGCTTCTTATAAAATCTGTTCCTTTGTGCTTCTCACTGTTGCAGCCAGGCTGTTCTTTCGAACCCTTCTGCTTACATCATTCCTAATCAGAACAAGTAACATCCCATGCAGAAAATGCCTTAACGTCTTAGCAACAGATTAACTCCTCTTCAGTAGCATTTACAGCATTGTATAAAGTTAGATGCCTTCCTTTAATAATTATTTTATCGATGGTTTCTTCCTTCAACAAGGCTGGAGACTTTATAGAATTACACATTTTAATCATGATCCTAAGACCATGACCACAAAAGGGATGGCTGCATGATCCTACTTATTAACGAAGCTGAAGCAATTTCACGTTGAAAAGGAGTAAGGGTTTTCCTACTCACATCACGTGACGGTACTCCTTCTACTTACCCAACAGTCGTCATTGTAACCAATGCCCACCAGGCTCCTTCACGAACTCCTCTCCAAAAAGACAAGGGAAACTGGTGCTGGTTAATTTTATGATCCTGATTGAAAATAAGATAGAGTGAATAGCAACAACGACAATTGTCTACACTGGCGGAAAATTTCTCTCATTATCAACCGGAAACCAATAGTTTGCGGATAATGAAAAAAAATATGAGTACCTCTGATGTAATTGCTGTTTTGGCCTCAATTAAAAAAAATTCTTAAAAAAAGAAATTAGTACAAAAATTGTGATACAAAATGCGTTGCTTTCAGACTCTTTCTAATAAATGGCATCATAACTCTTAGCCAAAGCAATTGCATTTTGCCCATGGGTACAAAAAAAATAGCTGTGAAAAACCATTTGGTGTATCATCCATCCATCCATCCATCCATCCCCCCCACTGGCCTTCAAGAAAAGACCGACATCAGAGGGAGCATCTTCCTGTCAAAAGGGCAACTCTTAATGCAAATTTTAGATTAATGGATAGGTAAGCCTTTTTATTATAAAAGACAATTTTCCAGCGTTTACGTGTTACTAGTTTTTCTTTCTATCCTAAATTTTAACTTCACCTGCCCAAATTCATTGTGCTTTTTTATTCTTGGTTTGCAGCCATGTGACAAGGTGGCCATGTTGGTGTTCAATACAATAAACAATTTTTGAAAGTATTTACATGAAAATGGTGCAGTTCCCAGAGGAGAGAAACCCTTTCGTTCTTGATCACCTACATCGCCGTTGTGACGTCTGGTGTATACCAGCAACATACTTGTCCTAGTCTCTATTTCTTTCTTGTTTTCTGTGGCGGGTACCACTTAGTTGAAAGTATTGTTTATTTTAACTAGTATCTGCTTCATTTCAGCTCAGTCAGTAAGCAGTCTTAGAGAGTAGTTAGTTCTACATGGCACTTAATACTGCGCGCCACATAATTACAACAACTACATAAAAGATAAGAAACCGAGATATTTACTTACAAGTAGCCATATAATAACTCCTGATATCAACGTCCACGTGACACATAACAACAGTGTTATCCACATTCGGCTAAAGGAGGCATAGACCACTGTAAACATGCTGAAACTTTGCTTTTCCACTACCAAATATGCCATCGGAGACTTATAACTAAACACAGTCTTGCTTTCATCGTTAGTGTAGTAGGGGTATGTATACAAAATGTTAACGGGACGCTGTCGGACATGAAGATCTTTTAAGCACTTTTGTGACACCATTTTCAGGAAAAATGACCAAGTTTCTTTTTTCCATGCCCCTTCGACCAGATCGTACTTCGTTTGAAACTTCACTCTTCCCCATGTGACATTTATGAAGCGGCATTGTGAACCGTTATTTTTTAGTGCTCTAAAGTTGTTTTTGCAACATTCAGATTTTATAGTAGGTGCGTTTCTCTGAGATCCGTTTCTTGCGCAAGAATCAATTATCTGCTTCCTGCAGGAAAATTTGTAAAACTGCTTTGGCAAAAAGCATTCTTGAGCCTCCTTACAGCATTGTTGGAAAGCTTTAGTTAGGTTGATGCTGGCGTTGGTTGGATTGCACAATTCCTTACAGCCAATGATGACTCGTTTTGTAACATCATTTCTGCCATCGCCTGAAACCAATATTATAATGAACACTAGAGCAGTTGTTCTTTTCATTGTATCCCCAGGCAAAAAAAGGCTTATCGCTACAGCGCACTTGCCTTGGTGTTCTTGAAGACGGTTTGTATATCAAGCAGACGGTAAGAAGGTTTCCGCAAAAACATCACCAATGATAATTATCATACGCGCTCCCAGGAGCGTAGCAGTTAGATCTTGCAATTAAGGACGCAGTGTCAAGTTTTCGTCGACCGAGTAAGTTCTTCTGGCGTCAAACTTTAATAGAAAGACAATTGACCATAGCTCTAATTGTGGAAATATTTGCAGATATATATGAGCCATATTATTTCACCTGCTTTAACAATTTAAAGTAAACAGAATTAAAAGTTTTGGTCAGAAGAAAAATACGGTCGAAACCTATTTTACAAACTCTTCATTACCACGCTGGGACAGCTTCCTTGGTACCCAGGGAAAGCTAGATCTTATAATACCCAAAATTAATATTGTCTCTGAATTCAACCTCATTGATACAGACACCCGTCCGATGCGAACAGTGGACATCGATCAACAACCTCACTCATGATGCGCACACTATTTGATCCACTGTGTGCTGCAAATGAGCCTTACTTATTGCATCAATTCCTCTCACGGAATAAGAAACTCAATCATAATAATAAAATGGCTATGTGGAATCTAACACAGCAGAAGTTTGACTTAAGATTTGAATATTCAATAAAAAATGACAGTATAAACTTTTACTAAATGTCTGTTGCCTACTCAGTACCAGGATGAGGGCAATAAAACTGCTACACTGACGTTAACCCGTTAGAAGAAAAATGAGGATAGGGGGAGGAGGAGGTTCGTCAAGAACAAGACATCCATAACCTATAGCTGTATACTTAGACTCGATTCGATGCCCTAACAACCCCTTTTTGCAGACGGGTTATAACAATCAATCGCATTTCGTAATTGCCGTCACTATTTGCAATACATTAATCGCACTTAGGTACACCAGGGCAATTTGTAATAAAAGTGTGTTTTTAAAGCTAAGCAACATAATATAAAAAACACAACAGTAAAGTGGCGGTATATTTTCTGGCTATTATTTATTTCCAGAAACAGCCTTCGGCAAATGATAAGAAAAGATTAGGAGGTCAAGATGGCTTATAATGGGTTGCAGTGGAAATGAATTACACTATGGATTTGTTAACTACAAAAAACAGCGGACAGGTTTTTCAAATAGTCAAGTTTGCTATCATTGAAAAATGGTGTCCCTCTAGGAAATCATTCCGTCAACAAAAAGTCTTCTATCACTTTCAAAGCGTTTTACTCATTCATGAACGATTTTACTCCTAAAGGAACTTTTTCCGTATTTATAACTGTTTTTTTTTTAAGTCAGGATGATATGTTATTTTTATCTTGACGTGCATATGGTAGAAACATGAATGTCGTTCAAATCCCTTGGAGAGCAATTTTAAGTACCCTCACAACCCAGAAAAGGTTTTCGCTAGTTCACCCGGAATTGAAGTACCAGAAACGTGAAAACACCGACATGAGCTATTTTTACTAAGTTCAAAGAACCATATTACGTTTCTTGATAGAGCGACAGTCATGAGACAAAAGACAAATGGTATCCATATCTGTTTAAGCGCCTTGAAAACCGGGCTTGCAGTTCCTGATGACGAGATGATTTTCATGGCAAAAACGGGCCTAGGCAGGCCTTTTAATTTTTATTTGGCCATGTAAATATTATCAGAAAAGTTGCATTTATCAGGGTTTTTATGATGATGATCACATGCAAGTATAGCGAGAAATTTTTCTGTTGCCTGTCGACTGAGACGGGCAATCAGAGTTGGGATATTGCAGACAAACTAGTAGTCTACGTTGGAAATTAAGCCCCTTTTTGGACTTCCCTTGGACTTCCCGCATACTGATTTGGATTTCCTGCATACTAATTTAGTGCCTTCCTCCATATATAATGAAGTGGATAGGTTTACTAAAGAGCGTCTCCCTTATTCAATAGAAACAATAGACATGCCCAAACTTCTCCGTTAAGTAACTTGAGATCGCTTTTCAGAATGTCTATTAAAAGAGAAATACGAATAAGAGAAGCGATCACTTAGCAACGCGAGAAAAAGGCTTAAACTCAGATATATAAACAAAACACATACACAAAGTGGAGTTGAAAAGTCTCTATTTCAATTTAGTTCATGTCTTCTTATTTAGCTCTAAAACTCGGGTATATATAAACAAAACACATATACACAAAGTGGAGCTGAAAACTCTCTATTTCAATTTTGTCTGACGTTTTCTCCGTTCTATCTCGAGGAAATGAAAAACTATTGAAGTCTTGTAATTTCACGCGCCGTTAGTCAGATAATTATGCGAGTTCACAAGCCCACCGTTGCATATAAATTAGCTCTAAAGGACAGACCCAAGGGAGCACCGTGACGTATTATTATATAAACAATTTGAAATCACTTAACAAGGATCAATTAAAACACGCGACTAATAATTGCTAGCAATAAAACCACGAGAGAGATACCGTTTTAAAAACTTTATTGAAAACAATGACATTGAAGAAAGGATCACTCTCGCGCAACCTTTATAGGTCAAACACCTTCGCGTCGGGCGAATTTCCATTCAATTGCTTCAAATACTGGAAAGAAAATTTCATTGACAATATTGCTGAATAATTTCCATTCTACCCTGCAACATGTATGATCTCGCACGATATAAACTAAATGAGCAACGACCACTGAGACAACATTTATTATTTCAGTAAAAGAACGAACAGCGCAAAATTTGTACAAAATTAAATACCGAACACCTTTGCAAACCCCTGGCGACGCTCGTAAGACAAAGCCTGCGTCGCAGAGGTAATCAAACCCCAGTTAGCAACGTCTGCGAAGCAGAGCCGAGATCATTGTTCCGAGCCGCCTAAGGACTCAACAAAACACCGGAAATGCGTTTCGAATTTCATTTAAGCCTGGATCTGGTTGGCAAAATGAGAACAGCTATTTAACAGGCCAATTATGGTACGTATTCAATCTTGGTACACAGGTGGGCCGGGCCCAGAGCAAGACTGTCAGCGGTGTTTCACAGACGGACTTAACCAGAGTTAAGTTTTTTCTGTAGCGCATGCCCAGGCTGGTAGGACAGCATTCTTTGAAAAGCGGGGACGTGCGGTTAGGAATGCACCAGTTGATCGTTGTGAAGTTAAAAAAAATGAATCAGTAGTTTTTGTAGCAATCTTTTTAACTTGCCGGGTGTTGGGAAAGGGATCACCAAATACATGGGCTCCACTCCACTGACAGAATCAGTGGGTGAAGTCAAAGGGTGTGTGCAGGGAATTGTTGAAAGCAAAAATAAACGAAAAATATGTGCCGATTATTGTTAATCAAAGTAACCGAGGGACTGATAAATTGCAAGGCAGTTAAGCCCACAGTAACCAAGCGAAAAAATAAAATAAAAGGCGTTGGGGTGTTAAGGTACAACAACAGTGAGGGACCCATTAACTGCCATGCAGATGACGTCCACTACAGTATTAACAATGGGTTGCCCTTCGTCCATGTATATTGGTATTGTGTAAATAAAAATCATAAGGAGAGTAATAAGGAGTGTAGAGTTAGTAATGGTTAGTTGTTAGTCGTTCTTTTTGTCCATCAAGGTAGAGCCATTCATCATTGTGTAAGTCAAAATAAAACCAAATGTGTGGCGGATTTGTTGTCCACTTTGTTGCTTAGAAAGTCCACTTGTCGAGCGCGTTTTTCGGTTTTTTTTTCTCTGAGGTCCAGTGTTGTGACGTTAAGATCCAGTGTGAAATGAGGTTGGGTGAGCAGCCATTGCCAACTAAAAATAAATATAGTTTGGAGGTGTCTTTGTCGCTGATAGGTTTCTTCCAGAAAATTAACTCAAAATCTTCTGGCCAAACAGAAAAGGGATAAAATGCGTCGCCGTCGATTGAATTAAAAAGATTGATGTGCGGGAGAGATTACGGACGTGGTGATAAAAGTGAAGTGAAGAGTGGTTGTCCATTGTACTAGGCAGTCTGTTAAGATAACTTTACATGAGGGGGTGAAGTAGAAGGTGGAGATAAGGGCATCAAGAAGTTAAGTCGTAAGTCAGTCTTAATTAGCATCATAAGTTTGATAGAAATTATCCTATTGTTATTTAGGGAAAAAGGAAAACGGAAGAAGAACAAAGAGAGTGTGAAGGAGAATGGAAATGCCCGGATTTGGTAAAAAAGGATGCATCGACACCAAGGCTCTTGTAATGTTGTGAATAATCAGGGGTAAAGTACAACTGAGCGAGGATGTTTCTAGCCCGGCGCCGACCCTTTACCCGGCATCCTCTATCTCCTCCCACATTGGCACTTCATATAGTTTCAATGTGGTGGCTATCAAGTACAACTTTTCATTTGCATCTTCTCTTAGTCTTTTTTCTATTTCTTTCACTTTTACTAATAATCTCTTTACTTGTATATACTAATTATTAATAGTTGATGCCTTTACAATATACCTTATTAGGGTTTTGTTACTATTCCCCCGCCCCCCACGCCCCCTCCAAGTTTTTCCTCTCGCCCTTTTTTTCCAGGACTTGAAACTGTATATTTGTGTTAGACATAACTGCATTAGAAAATAACAATTACACTTCATCCATTAATATACTACCTCAATACCTTCAATACCTCCTCCAATTCAAAGCTGTAATGGACATAGCTGCGCCATAGCAGTTTGTGGGTCCCTCACTATTGTTCTCAGTGCCCTAGCCCACTTATGTTTTTCATTTTGTTTTTTGTGCTATGTTACCGTGGGATTAGCTGCATTGCAGTTTAATAGTCCCTCAGTTACTTTGCTTAACATTATCCTCACCTATTTTATGTTCAATTTTTACTTACAAAATCCCCCGCACACACCATCTACTCCTTCACCCACTGATTCTATCAGTTGGGGTGGCACGTATTTGGTGATCCCTTTCCGAACACCCGGCAAGCCACAAAGGTTGCTAGGGAAACTTCTGTCTTTTTTTGTTTTTGTTTTTGCTTTTTTTGTTTTTTTTTACAAAGGTAAGACAGCATTCTTTGAAAAGCGGGGAAGTGCGGCTAGGAATACACCAGTTGATCGAGGGACGATTACAGCTAACCCGGGGCTAAATTTTAATTCCAGATTCTTTTTCTTTTATTCGAAAGCATTTTCTCAGATAATTTTTTCTATTATTTTTAGGCATCCAATCATCAGATAGCAGACAGACAGAATTGAACTGAATTTCCGTTTCAAGCTTTTATATCTGAATCCAGCAGCCCCGGGATTAAACGCTTTTCAATAAAAATTGTTAACTGAATTACGTCGTTTTTCAGCAAGACCAATAAGGTGCATGCTCAGAGTCAGAACCGTAAAAATAAGTTCAATCTTCTCATCAACAGAATTTCTTCGGGAAGACGTTGGGTTTCCATACAATGATAATTTAACCTGATAGCAGCTGCCAAAAGCTGAATACCCAATGTAATTAGAAAACTCATATTGGCACCACTTCCTTCCCACGGGTTAACCAGGTGTTATCAGCGTTTCTGCAGCAAATAAGCAATTTTGGCTTGTTAATGTCAATGCTGTAGACGTTTCCACCAAACGGATGCAAATAAAGTAAATGACTTGACGTAATTTCACTTTACCCATGTAGATGACTATGGATTAATAGAGACCAATTTAAAACATACACTGGTTGTTAGGAACAAACTTCAATTTATTTCTTCTCTGACTACGAGAAACCACCTTGAGACTCATCAATCTTGTACTCAGGATCCCCTTTTGGCTAGCTACTAGTATATAGACCAAATTTATCCTTAGAGCGAATTATTTGGGAAGTGAAGAAACATTACTTAGGAAAGTAAACTGCTCTATGCTATCTTGTTAAATATGGACGCAAAATTTTTAACTTTTACAAAGTTAATATCAAGAATTACAAGTCATAAGAAAACGATGTGGTTAAATAACGAAAATGTACAAAACATTCAGAAAATTATATTCGCGCTTTAAAACTAAGAAAACAGCGGACATTTCGCGAAGCCATGACTAGTTAATTTCCCGCGAAATGACGTCTGAGGATCGAATGCAGAAATTTCATACTAATGATCGGTCACTGTTTCTGATTGGTCGTTCCTCGAGAGAAATTTGCATCAACCAAGTAGAAGTACCCAGTAGATCTGGGTAGTGACAAGTCATCAGTATGGAATTTCTGCAGTTGTTTCGCTGGAAACCAGTTGTGGCGTCGAGAAATTTCGAAGGTGTTTTCTCAGGCTATAATAACGCCTCTTTTTAATAAAGTTTCTGCTTCCTAAGTTTTTTTTTTTTTCGAAACAGTACAATCATACGTTTATCATCCCTCCACTTTTGCCTATTTTTATGCTAATACGTTAGGGATGTGACACGGATCAGCTGCTGCTTCGACTAGTTATAAAATTGTTTAGAAGCTCTTGCTAAAAACATTTCTTAAAGGACTCTAAATTATAAAAAAAAACCTTTCAAATAACCCTATTATTTTCATTCATTCAACTCTTTCAGTTTCTGACTGGCTTTTCCCCGACTTATTCTTCGTAACCTGGAAGGGCTGACCAAATTTGGGGGATATTGCAAATGTTCCGCCATTGACGTCCGATACGGGCGTCAATGATGGAGTAATGGCCAAATTATCCACGATTTGACGTCACGTTAGACAGCGGCCCTTCCGCTTAGCTGAGAATGGAAAAAGAGTTCATACGTACGTGAAGACAAAACCGTCGAATTGCTGACTAAAAAAAGATAGCAACAATGAGCAACAATACCACTCCACGGAATTCAACTGCTTTTTGAACTGCCAACCCACCGAACTAGCAATGTTTTAGGGAATGTATCGGTGGAGGTAAAAAATAAGGTTTTGACCAAACTCATCATTGTCTAAGCAAAGAATCTTATCGAGCATTTCCAATCGGCGAAGTATTGTCTTACGAAAAGGCAAGCTCTTAACTCTCTCTCCGCTCTCTTAACGGACACCTCTACAAGACAGACAGGATAGGATAGGATAAGTGCTTTATTATCAACAGAGCGCCTACAGACACATGTGTTTACAATGATAACAAAGATTTTCGTGCAATAATTACAGAGGTGTACATTTGAAAAATTTATACAACTATTAAACAAGGTTATATTTAACGCGTCTATCTCTTTCACAGAAGCGATCATATACGTATTTAGCCACAATTTTTTGCGTTTTCTCTCCTTGCTTCATACTTATCAACGTTGTAAAGGCAGAGCTTGGAGTCATAGAGTCAAGAATAAGATTAGTTTCCTTTTTTAGCGTATTGAACAGCTCTCTCCTAGGATCCCTATAGGATATGCAATTCATCAAAAAATGCTCCTCGTCTTCTAATCCAGTTTTACATAATGGACAGATTCTTTGGTCTGGTGGTTGATAGGGTTTAACGTATCGTCGAGCTTCAATTGCTAGTTTGTGGTTGCTTAATCTTAGCTTTGTGATTGCTACTCTATGATTGATGTTTCTTACATTTGTGAGGTAATTTTCGTAGTCATGGGTAAGTTTAAATTTCCTAAAAGTTCTTAGACATCTCTTTAAAACAGTCACCTAGAGTTAGTCCCTGGCTTTCTTCACTCCTTTTAGTTGACTCTCTATAAGATTATCGGTAAATTAATGAATATCTTTCTAAGATTAACATATAGTGCGAGTCCCAGCAGTTTATCTTCCTAAGGGACGGACCATAAGAAAACTTATAGAGGGGAGGGGCGGGCGAAGTACAAAAAAGTATATCGAGTTAGGGAAATTTAAACGAAAAAAGTAAAAAACAACACGCCAAAAAACCCTAAAAAATACTTATGCATTTTTTATGCCTTTCAAAAATTCATACAAGGGAAATGTTAAAGAAAATAATTCATGTGGCTCAAAAATTCCCCCCCCCTCCCCCCACCATAACATTTAAAATGGTCCGTTCCTAGGAGAGAAAAACCAATTTCAACCATGTAATGGTTCGAGGTCCAGATTATGGCTCTGCCACTAAGTTGTTGAAACTTGTTGTTGTGGCTTTCAAGCTTCTTCTCCCATCTTTGTCTTCGTTAATCACTCGGATTTCTATTTGTTCTTCTCTCGCATTCATTTCTACGCCCCCATGGTCTCCAAAGTTGCCTAGTAAAGCGAAAAAATGCATGAGCGTTGGAAGCTAGAAAAGGGCTTACGTGACTAACAGTCGAACAGCTCATTACCATTTGCCTATTCTACGTATCTTATTGTTTACCCCAAGGGGGGGGGGGACTCCGCATATGAAAGGGATGGGGATGCTCGTCGGAAATTTTGAATTAAGCCCCTAAAGGAGACCGATCTGGGCGTGGAACAAGCTTTTTTTGACCCCTAAAAGAGACCATGTTAAAAAACAGACAATATATAGATATATTTTTATTTTTTTTGGCGTGCAACCCTAAACGAGACCTTCACGGCTAAATATGATGGCGTTTTGCCCAGAACACCCTAAATGAGACCAAAATCCGAAATTTACACCCCTAAGCGAGACGACGAGCATCCCCACCACTTTCATATGCGGAGTCCCCCCCTCTCCCCCCCGGGTTGTTTACCTCAGACGAGAATAATTGTGATCTTGAATCAAAATCTTTTTCTTACCTTCGTCTCTTCTAGGAAGATTCCTGGTCTTCATGAAATCCCATGCACTGCCTGCCACAAATATCAACACAACAATACCAAAAGAAACGTACATGATAATGCTGATTGTGTCTCGATAGTCAAAGCCTTTTCTTGAACCATATTCGGTTATCTCAATTTTGGAGTTGTCCTTGCAGTCTGGAGCTTCTTCATCATTGGATTCATTTCCGCTGTGATGTTCTTTCACCATTTTCTTGACACATTCCACCAAGGAAGAACCACCCTTTCTTGGCGTAGTAAATATTCGAATTCCAACGTAGTGCTTCTTCAATGCCCGTACAAACTGGAGCTTTTCGAATGTGTTGGCATCAAGTTCTTCACAGGCGTGAAAAACTATTCTCTCTATTCGACGAGTTCCTTCTAGCAGGTGCTTGGTCAAACTTCCGTTGGACTTTATCTCTGAAACGAGTTACACATTAGTGCAGATGTTGTTAACTGTAACATTAGGCAACATCAGATAATGAATAGGGACTCACATTAGGTCAAGCTAGGTTCCAAGAAAAGGCGGCGTGACTCAGTTTACCGATAAAGCGGGCAGCAGAAAAGAGTATGTTTAGTCGTGTTTTACGGACTTTTACAGGGTCTGTCATGATTTCTTGGTACACGTCATGCAGGGGTTCTTTTGGAACTTTTACATAAATCAAAACAATCGTTTCCGGGCCATGATACGGCATACTACGTTTCCGTAAGGTCTGGATACATTGAGGGAAGGAGGAATTTAAGGTGTATTGGCAAACTGAATTTAGGTAATGGAATATTACTACCACCAGGTCATCACAAAATTAATCATCTCTAGATTGCAGTACCTATTATCTTTGCTCCTCTAAGTTCTTCTCCAAAGTGACGCTTGCCAGAAAAGGGAACTGCAACCTAGTATTGAGGTATAGTTATGATTTTACATTTAGGATATATTTGTTGAGCAATAGATTAAGTTTCTGAGAAAACTTTAACGTTTCTCATGATAGCATAAACGCAGCAATTAAATTTTCTGGGTAAATAGATTTCTGCCTAAAATTGAATTGGGCTTCAATCTTAAGTCAGGAATTGTGGGATGACCGGCGTTTCTAATACTCAGGATAAGCCCTTCAAAAGTGTCTCTAACATATTTGTGACCAAAAGAGGAAACTTTCTAGCACTGAGGACCAGGCTCTACATGGAAGCAGAGGCTCTTCAAGAAAAGACCAAAAAAACCTTGAGGGCTTTTTACAAGTTTTGTTTCTGATCGTTTGGCAAGGATAAAGCTCCCCAAAAGTCTCAAAATTTTGCAGCCGTTTGTATGGTGAGAGGGTAAGATGGGGTTTATTGAAAAGTAATTTTGTTATCGATATTCTCTGTTTTTTATGTTTGTTAAAACTGTTTTGTCATCTTCGATCCGTTCAATTAATTATGATATGGAAAGCTTCAACAGGCATAAGAAGCTGTTTAAACGTTTTGGATCTACCGTTTCACCTTATCATTCCTCGTGTCCACAATTCTGTTAGGAGGGAATCTTACCTTTTTCCCCAGAAATGCATGAAGAGGCACCAATTCTTTAGACGTCATTCCAGATGTAACTTCAGCAGTAAACATTGATAGAATTACCATGCCAAAAATCATCCAGAAGGCGGAGTAAATACGAGCCGGTATAGACTTGGGAGTCTTATCTCCATATCTGGAGACAAAGGGAAACAAAATTCGATACTGCCTGTGTACGTAGCAAGTCAACGAATAATTACAATAACGATACCCAGGTACCGGTCTTGAGCTCGTAAGCATTGTTTGCTATACAGGCAAGAAAAGTGTAAAAATTGAAGTTTTTCGACGAAATGCAGTTTATTTTCTTTTATATTATTCTTTGACGCATATTATGGGATAATGTCACCTGAACGTTTGCCATTAGTTTTTTACAACAGTTACCTGCAACACAGATTGAGGGAATGTGCAGTTCTTGACAGGAATCCATGTTCAAGTCATAATCGTCGTCATCCGGTCATGCCTTTTCGTTTCATTCAGTTAACAAGGCCGCCCTGCTTTCTGTACAAGTCGTCCTTTTTGTGTCGATAATCTTCTCTATACTCTTGGCCATACTCTGGCTTATCCGACCTGCTTTATTCCTGCCGCTCTCCACAGAACAGTCCTCTTCAAAGTCGTCAACGGTCTTCCTTTCGCACTTCTTCTTGCTCTTCAACCCTAACAACTCCTACTTAGAGCTACTATGCTGTCATTCTCACCCGCCCTTGAAAAGCACCTAGTGCCCTCTGTAGTCTGTGCAATGGCTGCTTCATCTCTCAGTTTCTTTGTTAGTATTCTCACGTAAATCCTTGAATTTGGAATACCATAATGCAACCTCGGTACTTTCTTTTTCTCTTTCCTTTTCTTGACTATTTCTGACGTTTCATCAACGATCCATGGTCGTTTGCTCTGTCTCCTCGTCTTCCCAAAAATCCTTTTTGCATATCCTCTGTATTCTTCGAGAATGTGCCTTCGGTCACATATATACCCTTACACTTGGAATCCGTTCTTCACAGTCAACTTTGAACTCCTAGTGATCTTTCCAATCTGCAGCTTACGTACTTTAAACCTCTCCCCTTTCTCTGGCGTCTTCTCTCCATTCCTGCCAATTTTAAATTTTATCCAGTTTTAACCCCCTCACACCCTCATTATTCTCGTGTCCATTATAGATATTGTCATGCAGCCCTTTACTAGAATATGGCCTTTTTTATTTTCCTCCCTTTTGGAGACCTCCAGATCACCTGGTGAATTTCGATATGCGGAAATAGCGCTCCAGTGATACTTAGACCTTTAATATTACATAAGTCGCGTGGTCTCACACCCTTGTAATACATGACTCAACACAAAGTCTTCTCATTATCTAGTTCCTGTTTGTGTTATTCTCACTAAGGGTAATTACTTTTAGGAATCCACTGAGATCATGTCTTCAATGTCGCAGAATGTTAAGTATCGCGCTGAAATGGTTATCCTTTAGTTTGGCTTAAAGTGTAATGTAATTCGTTGGTGTAAATGCTTTTACGAGGGCGGATCAAGAAGTTCTGTCACTTAACTTATATCCCCCATGGTTCACCTGCAATTTCAAGAATTACAGTCACATTCCCTCAAAGTAGCTTCCCTCGACTTCTATAAATCGCTGAATCCTCATCCTCCACTTCTGAAAGCATTCTTGGTACTCTGAAGCAGGTATGGCCCCCATCTCTGCATGCACAGCTTGAGCAAGGTCTTGGATCTTTGAAAAATGCTTCCCAGCAAGGGCTGATTTGACTTTTGGAAAGGGCCAGAAATCGCACGAAGCCAAGTCGGGTGAGTATGGTCGATGTTCCATCAAATGGATACCATTGTCATCAAGGTACGTCTGTGTAATGCGAGCTTTGTGGGGAACTGTGTTAATAATAGTAATAATAATAATAATAATAATAATAATAATATAATTCATTTATATAGCGCTATTAATACTAATTATTCATAGCGCTGTTGTGATGCAACTGGATTCGAGAGCGACGTCGAGTCTGTGCCGTGGACTGAATATGTAGAAGAACTTTTGGTAAAACTGAAGTAGTTGTGTAATATGCGGCAGTGGTTGTAGCTTTGTCGGGCATCATGTCGACAACAACAGGCCCCTGAGTATTGAAAAAATTGGTGAAAATTCTCTTTCTTGAACGGAAACCTGTTTTTAGGACCTCCAGGCATGGTTCATCTTCGGCCACCCACACCATGTTAGAATGTTTATCTTTCATAGTGTAGAAGGAAATCCAAAATTCGCCACCCGTAACAACATCAGAAAACCTCTTAGGGCCATCTGGTTCAAATAGTTCCAAGCAATTGCGGCAGATTTAGCCCTTTGTTCCTTCTGTTCTGTTGTTAACTGGTGGGGGATCCATCTTGCGCACCTCTTGGACCAACCAAGCTGCTGGTGGACGATAGCATGTGCCGACTTCCGTAGCTTACACCAAGCTCCAAGGCTAAGAATCTGAGTGTTATAGTATGGTCTTCTGCTATTAATTCTTCGGCTTTCTCCACAGAACTTTCGATCACAGACGTCCGTGGCCTCCCAGCACGTGGTTCATCTTCAACGCTCTCTCAATAAAATACTGAATCCATCTGACAACTGTGCGAAAAGAAGGTGAAGTCTCCTTAAACCGCCACAAGGTCTTCATGGACAGGCCTTGCTGGGAAACCTAATTTATAACGAGTGTAACTGTAGAAACGAAAATATTCCCTTGAAGGCTCCTTGTCGCAACTAAATCAGCATGTAAAGGACCTGACAAATTCCACACGGGCTTTATATTAGTACTAAATTTCCTTAACGAACAGCAGTTACTGAGGTCTAAAGATGAACATAAGAATGAAGAACCATTGTTGCTTGGAGAACTTGGGACTTTTCTTGGTGACAGAACTTCCTGATCCGTCCTCGTATGAATTACTAAACGCGACTGGGGCAAATTTATGTTTAAACTGTTGGAACCAAATTAGAGTTTCCTACTCATATCACGTGACAGTACTCCTTCTACTTACCCAACAGTCGTCATTGTCACCAGTGCCCACCAGGCTCCTTCACGAACTCCTTCCCAAAAAGACGAGGGAAACTGGCGCTGGTTCGCTCTACGATCCTGATGTAAATTAAATACAATCAATGATGATGATTTCCCCTCACCCAAAACCTAGACTAAAGAAAAAAGTAATAGTAGGGTAAACTGATATTTTTGAGATACACTTGGTAAAGAATAAAAAATAATTATGATGAGCTCTACTGAAGAAAGGAGGCTCAAGCAAACAGAATGAAAAGCTGAAAAAACCGTTTGGGGCCGTCAAGAAAACACCGACATCAGCAGGAACATGTTCCTGCTATAAAGGCTACTCAAAATGCAGATTTTAGACATTATCTACTAATAGCCTTGGATGTATGCGTGGTTTGCATTAAAATTTGCAAAAATTAGCATAACGTCAAAACAGTGAATGTTGCAACTCGTATATTTGGTCGGTACGTAGGCTAGATTCGTCTTGAAATTTCAAGGTGTTGCAGTGAATCAATCTCAATGAAAGTTTCAGACATTAATATATACGTCATGAAGATTATGTGGTAAGGTTTAAGAAGAATTCTGTCGAGCCGTTTTAGAGATATACAGAAAAGCGCTAAAAGTCAAAATTTAGAATAAAGCTGCACCTAGACAGGTGGTGAGAAAACAGGTTAGTTTTCAGGATCCCGAGAAAGGAAACAAACCAAAATTTCCATGCTTCGAAATATGATATTAAGCAGCCTTCTGACGATACTTAAGATTAATTTGAGTTATTTAGAACTTTTTCATTAAACATTTCATCACGGCTATTGAAAGTATAAGACTTATTACTGACATCTTTAGCCCTTGTAAAATGTAAAAAAAAAATGCAATATTCTTTATATTATTCTGGTACAAGATTTTTGTCCACTGAAAATTAAAATTGCCCAATTTGCTGGTGGATTCCGTGTTATTTGAATTCAAGAATACATAAGTTTTTAATTCTCACGAAGGTTATTCGTTAAACATCGCAGTTTAAGTTCCTGGTGTTGGATTTTCAGTAGCAGGTCTAGATCGCGCGAAATCCGGATTTAATCTATTTTAAAGTTTTTTTTGTGAAAAACGTCAGTATGGTCTCCGAGAAACTGTATCAAAACACCTTAACTAGCTATTATCTCAGCTTTCAGCTCAGCCAGTCAGTCTCGGAGGATAGTTAGCCCGAACATCGCATTTCCTGCATGCCGCACACTAAATAAAAAACCACATTTAAATATACGAAACCGAGGTATTTACTCACCATTAGCCATATGAAAACTCCTGATATCAAACTCCAGGTGACACATAGGAACAGTGTTACCCACATTCGGCTGAAAGAGGAAGCGACCACCGTAAACATGGTGAAAGACTGCTTTTGCTGTGCCAGGTATGCAGGTGGAGACTCATAGCCAAACACAGTCTCGCTTTTATCGTTAGTGTAGTAGGGGTACCAAATTATAACGGAAAGCCCTCCGTCAGGTAATTTCTTTAGGCACTTTTGTGACGCCATTTTCAGGAAAAATGACCAATTTTCTTTTTTCCATGCCTCTTGGACTAGATCGTACTTCGTTTTAAAGTTCACTTCTTTCCATTTGACTCTTATTTCGTCGAGTCGTTTTGTGCAACGTTTTCTTTGTGTTACAGAATTGTTTTCTGGGCAGGTAAAATAGTTTCTGCAACATACAGTTCGTATTTGTTTTATTGCGCTGGTATTTGCTTGGTTTTTTAGGCACCAATCCATTATCTGCAACCTGCAGGAAAAGTCGTAAAACTGGTTTGGCAAAAGGCATTCTTCAGCCTCCTTACAGCATGTTGTTAAAGCTTCTGTCAGGTTTATGGTGCTGGCGTTTTTACAGCAGACGTCCTTACATCCCCTGATGACCTTTCCCTCAGCATCATTTTTGCAGTCACCTAAAAGCAATACTAGAATAAACGCCAAAGCAGTTATACTTTTCATTGTGTCGCAAGGTTGAAATAAGTGCCTTATCGCTACATGGCTCTTGTGTTTGTGTTCTTAAGAGCGGCTTTCCGTAAATATCGACCCACGGTCGGCACAAGTTGAAAATTTAATTTCGCTCATATTTGGCTCATCGATAACCCTTAATGAGTAATGAAACATGCCGTAGTTAGTTTTCCCAAATAACGTGTTCTTTTGTTAAAATTCGAGAAAACGCATTTTGCCCGTTCAGAGCTCAAAATCCACTTCCGGTAAAGCGAAATTTTACACAAATTCAATTGACTCGTACGTCAAACCACAACGATTTGGCAGCCTTTGAAGAACACGAATAGTTTTTATGACCCTTTCTGTATTATAAGACGATAAATTTGTGAAAGCTGTAATAAGTTTGTGGCCAAAAAGGTATTGTTAAAAATAGGCCCTATTGACAATTTCTATCGTTCAAAATTATAGGGATAAAATAAGGCAAATTTTTACAATGCGCTATAACTTAAAATTCCGCAAATTGACTTTCTACTGCTTAACTAGGCCCCAATCTATCCGAAAATCGAAACAAATCTCTGAGCAAACGATTTTAAGTAGCCCGCAAGACGTTGAGTTCAACCCTAATTTTGCAAAAAAAACGCGACATTGCCGTGGTTAAAAATAGCGTTACACGGCCCGTCACGCCAGTGTTACCAATAGATATGCTTTAAACAATTTACTTAAAGGCAGATTAAAAGCCAGTTCGAAATTAAATCTTTCAATAAACCTATTATTCTCATTGATTGCAGCATTTTCTTCAGATACAACATTTAGGGTCCCTGGGATAGTCACACACTTTCATGTTCAGTTTCAGACTGGTGATTTCCCTCAAAAAATGGTATATAAACAGATAAGAACAAAATCAAAAAACTAAAACTGATTGCTGAATGAATTTTTGCATTGAGAGATATTTGCGAATTAAATCATCGCCAATCAATGCCATTTGGTTTATAAAAACTAATTTCCTTGAAGCAATCTTAAAGAACAAAAATATTTTAGACTAAGTATTGGTGCAATAGTTCTCTTCGAAGTTTTTACCCTTGCGGGCTCTCAAAACTGAAAAAAAAGCTACATGGATGCCAAAGAGGAGCATATACTTGTATGAAAACGTGTATGAATCATGAAGCTACTGCATGACTATGACCCATTAAAACAAACTAAGAGGACTCTTTGGTTCTTTGCCAGGCTTACCATAAACTCAGTTTCAGGTTACTTTCGACGTTTCAGTGGAAAATTCCTGAAACAAACGAACGTCTGAAAAGGCAATCGCCTATCTTCTTGGTTGGAAACTTCCAGGCGGAAGTTCGGATTTCATTTCTTCAAACCTTTTTTGAATATTAGTTTCAGGCTTTCGCGGCCGTTTTGCATTAACGAAACTGACTTAGGAAAATGGTAAACGCGATTACCGAACGGAGTCAAAATTAATCAGTCCTGAATTCTCCTCACCATTTGCCCAAACCGTGAAGCGACCGGTTTACCAATGTAAATAGTAGAAAAACCTTGATGCCAAGAGCCTGCGATAAAGCTTTCTCTCATCGCTATCTGCCGCCAGGGACATTTCGTCAAAGAGCAGTGAGAGGCGGACTATGCGTCATATATCTTAAGTACTTTGAGGGGCCTTGTTAAGTGCATAATAGATCGTAGCAAGGGCAGATCGTTGCAATATCTCTAATTACTTATTAAGAGACACTCAAGCAAAGAAAACTCGCTATTCCTCTATCCCAGACAAATGTTAAGAAAAATAGTTTTTTTGGAGCAGTTCTTTGGAATAGCCTTCCTATATATTGACCAGCAGCAGGCGAAGTCTCTTGGGGTTTTGAGGGCCGGCTGCAAACAATTCTTCTGGAGATCTACACGGTACTTACGTAAAGCGGACTAAGGCTTTCAATCTACTAGTATTCGGTTTGTGACAAAGACAAAGGTAAGGTTTTGGAGGCCTGCTAGGGCGTCTAAGTTTCATGGACTAAAGTTACGGAGGATGAGGAAAGTCCTCAAGTCTGTCTTTCCTTTTTAGGTGTTCCCATTCGTTCGTTACAAGGTTCTTCTTAGATTTAGTATTATACTCTATTTTGTTTCCCTATTGTTATTGTTTTTTTGGCGGAAAAGACTATGTTCTCTTTCCAAACGCTGTTGAAAGGAACTTTCAGTCTTTTAACCTGTCATGTGTAGTTCAGTATTACAGCTAGAGTTTCCATGACACTAAAACGTCAATCAGTGCAAAGTCTTTCAGGCCACAAAGCAGCCCGTACTTTTTGCGTAAGCCAAGAAGGCGGAATAGTCGAGGTAATGGTCAGGAGCCCTCTTCCCTCTTGTCTGGAGCAGAGGGGGCACGGCGGGGCAGGGGAGAGGTGAGTGAGACTGGGGAGAGAATCGAAAAATAAGTCTAAAAAATACAATAGAAAATAACAAAGAAAAAAAAAAGAAAGAAAACAAGAAAGAAAAAAAGTTTCGCTGTCTAAAAGCAGTTGAAAAGTTAGTACTACCAAATCCGTTCCTGCTGATCAATAACAAAGAGCCACAAGTGCTCGACGCTCAAGCTGAATACCGTATTTATTCGAATAAGCGCCCAACCTCGAATTAGCGCCCACCTCGAATAAGCGCCCATCCTAAAGGCAGCAAAGTTAATAAGCGCCCACCCCCACCCCACTCCCTCCCACACAAACTCAAATAAGAGATAATAAGTAATAAAGAGACCCTCCCGAAGACGGAGTTTTCTTCAGAGCATTTTACAGAAACCTTGCTTTGTTACATCTCCGCTTTTTGTTATTACCATTTATTGTTTTGCTGCAAAACTAACATACTACACTTGCTGAGAATGGAGAAAATTTAATAAGTGCCCAGCCTCGAATAAGCACCCACCTCGAATAAGCACCCACTCTCAAAGTCCAAAAATTTAATAAGCGCCCAGGGTGGTTAATCGAATAAATACGGTATATACCATAAAAATTTGTAAATGAAGGACGTAGTTAACCTGTAACAGGCCTTAAGGTAGTTGGGAAAACGCAAAGAAAAGTGGGCTAGCAAAAATGGCGAAGGGGCGGGGTTAGCAAGAGAGGGCGAAAGGTCCTCCTACTCTCTCCCTCTTACTCTCTTCCACGTTTGTTTTCCTCCGTTCCCCATTTCGCGCCACTGTCCACTGTCCACTATCCACTATCCACTATCCACTTTCCACTGTCCACTAAGCCTGGAATAGGCTAGTTCATATTGGGCCAGAGAGTTTTTTTCCAATGGCGATGCAAGGGATCTATAGATGTCCATTTAGGAGCATTTGCCATTTTTAAAAGCTGATGATCACGCTGCAACTATTCCTGCTTTAGCATTAGTAAAACGACACTTTTTTTCTATTTCCGTTTTGCTGTAGAGGAAAGTTTTTAGTGATTTGTTGTTGATGATGGTGTTTCATCGTCGATCGAAACGAGTTAAAATGTTTTCTGAAACGTTCGTTACAATGTAACTTTATAAGCGTGATAGTAATACATCGGAACGTACATTTATACTTATACATAATTACTTGAAAGAGAAAACTCGCAAGAAAAAAAAAGAGTTCTAATTAGTTAATATTGGTTATCCCCGTCTTAAATTTAACGTATTTATGCCTTTTGACGCATGCTTGAATTAATAAAACACACCACTGTACTTGTTTAAAGTTTGTTTTCGTTGGGCTCCGGTCGTCGACGTCTTGCCGATGTCGCTCAAAAAAGCCGACTTTTGGGCAGTTCTACACTATATATTGTATCCAAACAAAATGACTCTTCTAAATAAGATAAGTGTATTGAAAGATGTAATATAGATTGTATGCTGGAATTTGGCATGTGATCAGCGTTGAATAGAATGTTGAAAGTGAATCTGTCGTTAACACCGCTGACGGGCCGTGTCACGCTATTTTTAACCACTGGAATGTCGCGATTTTTCGCAAAATTAGGGTTGAACTCGGCGTCTTGCGGGCTACTTAAAATCGTTTGCCCAGAGATTTGTTTCGATTTTCTGATATATTGGGGCCTAGTTAAGCCGTAGAAAGTCAATTTGCGAAATTCTAAGTTATAGCGCATTGTAAAATTTACATTACTTTAACCCTATAATTTTGAACGGTAGAAATTGTCAATAGGGCCTATTTTTAACAATACCTTTTTGGCCACAAACTTATTACAGCTCTCACAAATTTATCGTCTTATAAGAAAGAAAGGGTCATAAAACTATTCGTGTTCTACAAAGGCTGCTAAATCGTTGTGGTTTGACGTACGAGTCAATGGAATTTGTGTAAAATTTCGCCTTACCGGAAGTGGATTTTGAGCTCCGAACGGGCAAAATGAGTTTTCTCGAATTTTAACAAAAGAATACGTTATTTGGGAAAACTAACTACAGCATGTTTCATTACTCATTAAGGGTTATCGATGAGCCAAAAATGAGCAAATTCGAATTTAGAACTTGTGCCACAAAAAGTCGATTTTGGTCGATATTTACAGACAGTCGCTCTTAAAGTGCATTTACACATCAATATTTATAGAGTTTTCGCATACATTTACCACAATGATGATCCGGAGGGGTAATCCAGATCTAAAGTAACAGGGATGATCGAACGATTTTGGGTGGTGTGAAATTTTCGATTTGGGAATTTTTGGGGTAGGAAAATTAGGCAAGTATTGTTTTGCGGTGGCTTGATTTGAGTAGGGATTTCTTAGGGTATTCAAAACAATCTGAAGACTCGTGGTAGTGTCCGCGTATCCCGGCTTCGTAGTTCTGCACCTTAAAGTACAACCAAAAAAGTGCAACATGTTATGTCATTTAATGGTTTTTGGAAATTTTCAAGGCTCGGAAACTCGGCATAGGATTTTTTGGGGGTTAATTTTTGGTCCAGGGATTTTTTGGGGTTTTGTTGGAAGTCCTAGGGATTTTTTGGAATTTTGATTTTTCCTCCCATTCGATCATCTCCGTCACTTGAACTCCGGAATAGCCCCTTCCCCCAACAACCCCCCCGCGCAACCTCCCTCTTTTTTAGATGATCATAGTCACACGCTCTCCTTCTAAGCAGCTGGCTAAGGAGCGTGAGAGTAAACTGTTGTATTTAGGAAAGCAATATTTTTTAAGTTCTCCGCCGTCAATCGAAAAGGTACTAGCCATCTATTTACTTGAAAAGACAATGGGAACAACGCTTTGACATCAGACCCTAATAGTAAAAAAATAAACACAGCTCTAAATGCATGTGAATATGTCATCAGACTGCTATAATGAGCGAGATGATTCCACCTGCTATAATAAAAAAAGCAAATAGAACCCAATCAATCTACTGGCCAGGAGAAAACTACAGTCGACTGAACCCGGTTTGTTGACAGGCTTACGATTACCTCTAGATTTAAACAGATCGATTTGAAGCCTGCGATATTTCTCATTTCGTTTAATATAAAATTATAATTTTATTCTTACCTGTTCTTTTTTTTCCAACCCTCTGTTAACTTTAGTATATACTATATGTAAATAATATAAATTAATATTTTATCTGTGCCTGACCCGCCTCGATTAGTGTTGCGGGTACTTTGCGGGTCAGCACTATTGTACAAATATGTATGTGAAGTAAAAGGTTGTTGTTGTTGTTGTTGTTGTTTATGGACGCTTCTTTACTACGGAGAGTTTTCCTTGATTCCATCAAAAACTATATCTTATAATTTGTTTTTAAATTCAACCTTCTGTATACGAACGTACACCTGTCAAACGTCGTCAATGCGGAGAGCAGACATCGATAACAACCTCGCCGATGCGGACGCTATTTAACTACTGTGCACAGCAATAAGCTTTTACCCACTGGTTTAATTTTACCCACAAGGTAGACAGTCATTCCAGAATGTTTTGTGTGTTTTGTGGGCTGATTTTTGTTTGTAAAGGTTCTACAAAGAATGTGATGGATAAAAAACAGTGGTTATGTAAGTAAGAGGCGGAAAAGGGAAGGATCGTGAATCGATGAAAAAGCTGCGTGTCATGACGATCCAAGTAAAATATAACATTGAACCAGGATTGGATTCAAAATTCAAAACCGTATCCTCGATTCCATGCCCTAGCCTCTGCTTGCTTTATGGGTAATTAACCTTGTGGTTAAACGCATAAAATTTTAGTGTTTTTTTTTTGTGGTGGTAATTAAACCTTTTAGATTATAGCACAGTCACAGCGATAACTAGACGAGATGTCGCCAAATCTAAACGCAAATTAAAAAACTGTGTCAGCAAAGAAGTTCTTGTAATTATTGCACGCGCAGTGTCACTCTGTAATATATAAATGAGCGACTTCGACCGGCGTGTTGATTGATATAATTTTGTGGTGTAAAATGTGTATGAATACTTCCTCAATTACACGATCCGTTTAACACAAACGGGCACTGTAATTTCATGGTTCCATTTGCAACAATTAGTTGTCCGTATTATGAAATAGTCATTGCGATCGGTAATGAAACATATTGTCAATTATTTTGTGTGCATATATAGCCGATATTTTTTAGCTATGATGTGAGCTTAGTTTTCGTTATCAGTAACAAATCGCCATGCTCGATACTGTAGGCCATAACTGCGTGTAACGCGAAAGGGAGTGAGGGAACTGACTTACAGATGGTGCAAATGCGATTTTTAAAAATCAAGCTACAGGCCTTTCAAAAAAAAATGAATATGCTGCTGTAGCCGAATTTTAGTAAAGTGGGGATGGCTGTGAAAGAGAAAAGAAAACTTCCTGGTTTAGAGATTTATTCATTAATAATAAAGAAAATGCATGTACAGCAGTTAAAATGGGGTGCAGAATTCTAAACTAGGCATGTGAAAGAGTAGACTGCAAAAGAGTCCCTATTTTTGCGTATTCAAGTGCGAGCGACCAGTTAAGCAAAAGGTCTGGAACGAGGCTGAAAACAGAGAGCGCGACTGGGGAGAGACGCTAAAAATAAAACAAAATAAAATATATTTTTTTCTCTCGCCTCACAAGCCCTACAGGCGTGTGAGGCTCGCACGCCTCGTGCACGTTAAACTCTCACGCCACGCTTTACCGATTTGTTTACTGCGTTTGAGAAACAACGGACTGTTTTGCAGTCTAGTGAAATACCACTTTTCAATAGAGGTTATACGAAAGTGGTACCTTTTCTGGCAAAAATGTTATACATAAAAGGGGTTGGACCTCCAGGAGGGGCCTCCCCTTATTAAACTTCGTTGAGTGCTGCCCAGGGATTTTGCCTATGTGACAAATGTGAACAAACATTATTCTTTAGCACGCATTTCGAGCCCGGGGGGGGTACTCCCCTGTAAGAGTAACGGGGGTGCACGTTGTTCCTTTTAGGGGTTCAAATTTGTGGATTGGTACCGCTTAGGGTGCTAAAACCTAAATTGACTGATCAGGATAAAGATTTATTACAATACTTTCAAAAAGTCCTTGAGAAGAAAGTGTTCGAGAGTTATCTTTATTACTATTAAAATTTGCAGTGCCAGTTATACAATATGTTTTGGTTGAATTGTTACCTCTTAGGGTTGGAAATGAATTTGGGACACGCCCATAAAACAAGATTCTGGAACCTTTAAGGGGTGTTCTCGAAATTTTCTGACCATCACCCCCATCACTTTTATAGGAGAGTACTCCCACTGGGGTCGAGCAACAAGATTATCTCCAATACGAGGCTAAAACTGAACATGATTAATATCTTGTTTTTCAGAAAAGCCTTTCTCCCTCAAAAATATGTTTCAATTGTTCAATAGGATTATCTTTATTGCGTTTTCGGCCTGAAATACATAACACACATTCCGTGATCTCTAATCGGCTTAACAACAGAATACAGAGCAAATTTTCAAGGTCAGGCACAGATCGACACAGGCTTCCACCGTTTTACGGAAAACCGGTTAGACTTTTCAAAATAAATGTGATAAAAAGGCTTTCCAAGATGGAAGAAGGAAATAAAAGATGAAATAAGGCGAATAAATTTGGAGCGTATTTTGCAAGTTTAGAGCTCCATAGCGAGAGTAGCCTGCGTAGCATGGCGGTTTTGGTTGGGCACGCTAGGTAATAAAGGCGGGCGAGGGCAGAGAAGCCGCGAGGAGATTGGGGCGGGAGGAGCAAACTCTCCATTTTCTTCGGTTTGGACAGTAATAATTCGCCAATTTGCCATGATTCATCCGCGGAGAATGTACTGGCCAATGTCCTGTCTGTCTTATGACTCAGGAACCCAAGAAAGGGGACTTTAAGGAGTTAAAATCCAAACAATTTCCCGGGGGAGTATGCCCCATGTTCCCCCTACAAGCCTGCGCCTTCGCTTAGGAAATCGGTCGGTATTTATCCTAGATCCACGCCTGTAGGTATATTCGTTGGGGCGGCTTGCATTGGGGCTTGGTAGTCCCGACTGACGAGCTTTCGAGCCACTAAACTATATTATCTTGACTGAAGAGCTACCGAGCAACAGAGCCACTAAAATATACGCCTTTCTGGTTCTTTAAGATGCTAACCGCGACTGACGAGCCATCGAGCCTGCTCTTCAAATTTTCTACTTTTACGCCTTTTTTATGTCTACCTTACACTTATATGTCTTATATCTTTCTCATTCTTTAGACAATTGTCAACCTAGACATGACTAACGAGCCACCGAGCCACTTTTGTTTAATGCACTTATGGTCTAGTGTATTCCGTAGTTGCTAAAATGGCGGCAGTAAATTCCTCACAAACAGGATCCACGAATTTGCCCAAAATGATCGCTTCCTCCAGTCAGTCAATTTTGATTTCAATTAATATCAATAAACTTTACCCCGTTATTTTAAAGAGAAAAGTGGTGGGTCTGCTGGGGGTAATATAATTTAAACGGCAGAAATCTGAGTACGAATAAGACATTTACGATGTTGAGGCGTGGATACACAATAAAGGATCAATGGTTAATATTTGCCTATAGCTGATTCAGTGACCTGGAACTCAAAAATATAGTTTAAGCAAGAGGAACATTCAAGAGAGATGCAATGAATTTACAGTACGCAAGACATTTTCCCCGAGTTTTAAGAGTAAAATCTTTTGAAAGTAGGCAGGGGAGTTCCTGGGCATTTTTTGTTTGTAACCTTTGGTGGAGCATACTGAGGGGAGATACAACATGGGCGCGTTAGCACCCATGAGGAGAGCCCAAGGCGCGACATGCTAGGGGGGTCCGGAGGCATGCCCCCCGGAAAAATTCTGAAAATTTAAGTGCTCTGAGATGTAATCTAGTGCAATCTAGATGCTTAAATTAATTGGCAAATGCTAGGATTCCATATTCCAAATTGAACAAGAAATAATAGAATATTTAACAAAATGCAGCCAGTTGTGGTTGTGGTCAAAAACAGCAACAACGTAACGACCTAACTAGCGCGACACATTAGTTGCAAACATATCTGAAATCTTGGTGGAACTCAAAGAAATTCGAAAGCTAGACGTTTGTTCTTTTTGGCGCAAAATTCGCGAATCACGGCTTCTACATCAATGGGTATATATGCCTCTGTAAGCATGCATCAGGGCAAGCGCTGCGAGTCGCTCTGTTTTCATCGTGGAACGTACTAAGTACGTCTTCACTCTGCGCATCGTGCTAAAAGATCGTTCGGGGGTAGCAGTTGACACTGGCATTGTCACGAGGATGGTAATAATTGTGACCATGTTGGGATAAAGGTTCGGATTAGCGTGCTGGAGACTGTCCCTGTGAGTGTCACTGGTTTTTTTATCAGTTGAATGAGACCACTTTGTTTGCCACCTTAAAATTTCATTGTCAAAGTCTCTCTTCTCTGAAAGATACGTTTTGTAGGTTTCATAAAGCTTATCGACTTGTAATCCGCTGTTGAAAGCATTCAGCTTTGCTGGAACAAGATATTGTCCTAAGAAACGATTCTCTTGTAATAGAAGCCTGTCATTTAGTTCTTGTACAAGGTGATCGACCAAAGGAAAATACACGGCTCTTTGCCAGTACATCTCTTGTCAAAATATATATATCACGGCGTCCGAATCACTTGTAAGCCCGTGCTTATTTGCTAAAGGCAGGTACGCCCCTGGTCTGGCAAGTGTTATAAATAATTACAAACAACATAATTGCAAGCAGGTAAGGCTTACAATTCGCTGAAGAAAGGATTAAACTCTGCGCAGATGTACAAAAGGACCTGAAAGGTTTCTCGTACTTTGAGCAGTGCAAAGCTAACTGAAAGAAAGGTGAAGGAACGGGAAAATTGGGGGAGAAAAAAAAACATAAAATAAGCAATAAAGGGCAATAGAATAGAGCATGGCTTGAGCTAACTGCTTGAAGCCTCGATTAGCCAATAGTGCCGCTTTCAGTCAAACTCATGGTTCTTGTAATACGTGATGATATATGTTTTTATAAAGCTGCTACTATAATTGTTGTTGTTTCTTTTCATGAATGAAAATGTATCAAAATTTAATATCTTGACACGATGAGCGCCATTTGCAGCTAATTAAGTTAAACTGGTGGACATATTCATAGGTCATTAAAGGACAAAAAGATAAACAGGTAACTTTGAATCGTATCAGCATTCTTTTTAAAACATGGCGCAGAAAGATATGATGAATTTTTCAGCATTAGGTAAAATATTTACAATTGTTTTGCTACAAAATGTTTGCAACTTTAGAGCAACAGTTGGCGTGAGCACATACAGGAACAATGGCAGCACATATTTCTGTCCATCGTTTGGCAAAATTACACTGCGTTGGCATGAATTCCACCCATTTACTCACTACAACTCATCAAGCAAGGCTCTTGACGGGAATCTTGTACATTACATGAGAAAAGCGCTTAATATCTGCTGTCCAAATTTGGAGATCATTCGTGAAAAAGTAGATATCAACAGCTCTTGTGAGATGGAGATCCTGATCCGTCAAACAGCACCCGACGAACCAAGAGTATATTTTCCGATTTTTGCCAACCGAGGAGATGGTGAACAGTTTGAAAGAAGATTTCTCGGACTGTTTGATTCTCCAGGCCCCGCAGTTTTGAAAGTCAACCATGGAATTGCTTCGTCGTCAAATGAAATTCTCTACTTTCTGAAGGACGTGTGGACAATAGTAGTGATCAGTTTTTTACACGCGGTGTTGGCTGGAATGATTATCTGGTATCTGGTATGTACGTCAAGACACTCCTTTAACTCTTATTAATAGACACCTATTAGGGGAGAGTGGGAAAATACGAAAACTTTAATAACATGACATCATATGTTTTGGGTTTATAAACTGAGATCCATTGCCTAGGTATACCAGGCGTGGCTCAGGCTGAATTTCAGTTGAGACCACAGGCATGGTAATCCAACAATATCCGCTAAAGCAGTGGAATTTGAATGTGAGTAATTACGATATGGAAGGCAATTTATGTTTGCGTGAACAAAAGGATATTTTATGTACCATGCCATGTGTGGCTGAATGAATCATTACTTAGATGTCTCTTCTGTTTCTGAAATGACGCACGTATTTAACGCTAAAACAACAAACTTATTATTTAGTTACAATATCATTCAACTAAACTGAACCGAAGTTAGCAGATGGTTAGTCTATCACGGGATTTTGAAAAAAGGAAAAGGCATTCATATTGGTGAAAACTGAAAAACTACGAATAATCTAAACGGAAACAAAACTGGAAAAATTCGATAATATATTCAGATCTGTTAAATTTTAATTTCACACAGTGTTTAACAACCTTGTGGTTTTTAAATGCTAAGAAACGTACTGAAAAAATAACTATCAAAGGCAATCACAAATGGTTTGCTTTAGAGAAAAGCTCATTTTAATCTGACACGGGTAATAACTGACTAATTCAGAGCAATTAGAAGGCAAACTTGAGATTTCTATCTTCTAATAATTGACCAATTAGGTCTTCTAATTGTTTTGGTAAAATGCTACTACTATTTAGCATGTTTTAGAACATTCTCGGGGGATTTTAATCAATTATTTATTGGTTTTCACCAGCCTTTTCGTACCGATTCTCCATTGTTGGTAAATAATAGTGTATAGTCAGAATGTGGGATTTGCGATAAGATACTGTTAGAAAATGGAAGAAGACTGGTGAAAAACGTCTTGTGTTAAAACCTGTTGCACATTTCATGTTCCAGGATCACGAGTCCAATCCACAGCAGTTTCCATCTGGATCGTTATATGGAATGGGGAACGGGATTTGGTGGGCTTTTGTTACCATGACAACTGTTGGGTAAGTTTCTATGGCTACCAGTTTACATATGTATATACAGTGTCGCCCTTCGATCCTACTCATTTGCATGAATTAATAAACACTGGGCCACAAAGACAAAAGTTCACACCAATTACCACTACCGTGACGGTCATATTAAATGTAGTCTATACTTCTCTTGTACTGTTTCGAATCTGTTCTTAGGTCTTCGGAGAAGAAGCGAGGACGCATTTCCCGAACATCAGTAGTATAGTGGGCGCCAAGCCTTTTGTCTTTATTTCATGAATAAAATGCGCTGGAATCTCATTGAGTTAAGGTCATGTGCTGTTTTAGGTGTTTAATAACCTGTTGAATAGGTTTTCTATTTACTTTAAGGTTATGGAATGTCTTGCTTATTGATTGGTGGACTAAAAAAAGTATTCGTCGGTTGAGTTATGTTGTGGAAGGAATAAGCGCTAACTCGTCTATGACTTCACTAAATCGTAACGTAACTATGTTAATTCTTTTTCCTTAGACTTTCATTTTCCAAAAAAATTGTTACAGTTGCGGTTTAGTGATTCTTGGACCCCACAATCGTGTATATTAGTGTGGATAAAGGCAAACTAGCTTTATCTTACACGAAAAGCAAGTTTTTACTTACCTCTCTCCCCTTTCTTCTCCTTCACAATTCAATAGACTTCTTTAGCTTGTACGTTTTGTCTTCCCGATACAGGTCATGTCTCCGGTGGTTGCCAACGAGCAGCCTCGAGAAGACGCGAGGCTGCGAGGCAGCAGCCTAATAAAGCCGCGCGCGAAAGTTCCAAGACAGAATAAATCTTGAATCGATATAACATAAGGTAGTGTAGGTAGTATAAGGTGACTTTTATGACGTAATTCAGAACAGAGAATGCATTGTTTTCGAGCGAACACGTGATACAGAACAGAGAATCCACGAGCCGTGTGCGTGTTTATGAGTTCCGTGCTCACCCAGTCTTCAACCAATCACGCTTATAGCTGTCGCATTTGCCCCCCGGAGTTTTTTATTGTCTGCCGTTAAGAAAAAATAATAACGCCGCAAAATTTATAATTGTGTCTTTGAAGCAAAACAATTCGGAAGGCTTCCTCGGCGCACCATAATTTTTTTTTCTAAAAAACAGACCTTCCTAAGCTTTAAAAAGAGACCAAATATAAATCTTTACGTTGAATATTCGCGGACTTTAATATGATTTTTCGAGGATTCTAAGTTCGCTTATAAGACCACTAAATTTTACGTAAAAAACCTGCGCGCAACTTCGGACAAAAACACAAGCTTCAATAACTCAAAAGATATTCTATGTTGTGTCGGGATTTCAAATTCTTTATGCAGTAGAACAGTTAAGTTCACTATTTTCAAGGTAATTTTTGCTTATGCAATCGAATTGAGTTCAAACTATTTTTCGTAAATTAAGGTAATTCATGACATTTCTAGACAAATTGAACAGCGCGCGCGTATAAGTAAAATCTTTGCTCTTTAGCACTTAGCGATAGCGGTAATTAATAATACTCTAGAGAACTGTTCCATTTAATTTTCGTCTTACTCACTCAAGGCACGTGCATATCTACGCAGAATTTATGAGACGACAAGGGGTAAAGATCCCCCGACTGGAGACCTCTATTGGGAAAGCAAAACTTACAAGCTAAATAGGTCTATTATAATCTCGTTTCTTCTCAATTCTTTCCCTTCCACCACCACCACCACCACGTTCTTTTCAACTAGTAAATGTTACAGTAAGAGTTAGAGTCCTCAACAAAAACATTTCTTGACGCATTTACTGAAATTGAAGGTACGGTGACAAATCTCCCCACTCTACCCTGGCGCGTGCTTTTGCAGTGCTATGGATGATAGAAGGAACAGTGCTGACAGCTCTGTTTGCTGCACAACTAACAGCTGATCTGACGGCAGATGAAATCACCAAGGAGCTAAATCTCATCGACAAAAAGGTGTGCGAGAACCTATTGTTACTTTAAATTTAGTTTGTTTGTTTACTTTTTTGTTTAATAAGAACGCACTATCAAAAAAGAAAATAGCAACAATTAAACATCAAGAGCTTTTTTGTGTAGGTTGGAGTCCCTCTTGGCATGGAAACATTCCTGGTGAAAGAATTTAACTATGCTGCCCATTTTGAAGGTAAGGGCTTTTTCATTTACGATAATACTTGTTTAAAGGAAAATATATACTTTTCCCCCTACTAAACACTGATATCCATCACCATAATTTGATTTCAAATGCCTTCGAAGGAAGCAACGTATAATGTTTCCATCGAGATTAGTCTCCTAAACAGTGATACTGTGAACTTTATCCAAAGAAATTCGCCAATCAGTACAGTCAAACCTCGTTAATACGGACCGCATGCACTAAATGGAACACAGAACGTGCCCGTATTAACTAGGTGTCCGTATTAAGCGGGTCATCTTATTAAAGTAAAAAAACACCTTTTATCAGATAAAAAAATGCCAAAGACATGAAAAAGGGCATTAGAATCGTATCGTCATATTAAACATCTCTAATCTTCACAAAGGCTCTATTCTGCGGAAAGACTCAAAAATCGTCCATTTGTTCGCTCACCTTTCACAGCATAATTTTTTTGATGCCAAAAATTGACGTCCACAAATCCCTGGGGGGGGGGAGGGTACTGCCATATATAGGCTATAAAGGTGTGTGCCGCTGTGAAGGATATGGTTTTCAAGCAGTTTACTCTGGGATAGGGTATATAAATCAGATAGTTTGGGTCTAGAATAGGGTATCATTTTTCAGGAATCTGATCAGTTGGTTGAAGATTTTATCTAGACTAAGGAAACAGCTACTCTAGAGTAGGGGGAATTTGGGGAGTTTCCTCTAGTATAGGGTAGCAAAATTCAGCTGAACTAGCTCTGGTATAGGTTAAGGGTTCCAGGGTCCCAGCGACACATCCCCACCCCGAAATTTCTAACGTACCCCCGGATACAAATCATCCTGTCCGGTGTATTGTAGCGCTGGAAACATCGAGATGCTGTCAACAACTGAAGTTTTTTTTACCTTCAAAAAGGAAAGGTCTACTACAGCACACAATTGATAATGAAGTGTTCGCATTAACGAGGTTGGCGTTCTACCAGACTTTGTTGATTGGACAAGAAATGAGTGTCCGTTGTCAGCATTAAAGGTTGTCCGTATTAAGCAGGTTGAATAAGGTCTTTCTTTCCCTAGGGACAAAGAAAACTGTCCGTAATAACGAGTTATCCATTTAAAAGGGGTTCGACTGTGGTTTTAATGTATGCATAAACTACCTCTAGTTCAAACTAGCATGTTCATAGACCTTCTATTTTCTCTTAATAATCCGTCTACCCTGGGTGTCAGAGACTTTTCTAGCGCGGTTTCCGGTTTCTGTCAAGCTCGTGGCTTCGGCCTACGGCCGAAGATGTGTCGGCCTTCGACCAACAAGGAAAATTCACGCCGCACACGAGAGAAACCTCTGGTACCCAGGGTATAATCCGTCGAGCGGGCGTGATAAAAGTAAAAACCGAGGGGGATTTATTGACCGCTAGCGCAAGGGGTAGGGGTGAAGGTAAAAAAAATAGAAGGTCTGTAAACATCTTTGGAAACAACTGAAACTAGTTTTTTTTATTTTTCTTTCTCTCGCGCTCGCTTCACTCGCACGCTAGTAAAACAACGACCAAAACGAAAAATAAGACAACGTCTGTTTACAGGCTAGTTCAAAACTGCAAATATTTTGTCACCATTGTTGGAGATATGTTACTGATCACTGTTCTTGAAACTGCGATCTGACAGTATTTTGTCTGTTTGTTTGTTTGATTTTTTGTTCTTTTGATGCCAAAATGGTCCATATATCCATATATTAAGTATTTTGTTTAATACGAAAAAAGGTACCTCGTGGCCCTGCCAGCTTCCCATGAGCACCCTGCGTCAGCTTGTATCTCGAGTTAGTATACAAGTTGACGTCGGGAAAAGCGGAAAATGTTACATACATGTAAAAGGTTCGAAATAGTCTGTCCTGTAGGCGGATGAAAATTTTTGCTGCAAAATGACTGTTTCCGAATCTGTTTCACCCACAAATTTTGTATAAGTTATTGTTTTCAAATGGTCTTGTGGTAATATAAAGTTCTTTCAGAGGTAATTGAAAATAATAGTTTATGTATTTTGTGTTGTATGGGGATTCGAAAATAGGAACGGAACGTGCCGCGATGGAGGGGTATAAGAGCAAGGAGAAAGAAGTAGGTTCCTCTCTCCCCTCGTGCACATCGACCGAGCCCTCCCCACTTGCTGCCGTTCATTTTTGCGCTCTGAATTGCTCATGCGTCCGCTACACAGGCCAGGCTTTTAACGTTGTTTATCCTCCCTCTTTTAAGAACTAGAACATTTCCATGACCTGGAAGAAAACATGGAAACTTACGAATCATTGGAATATCTCATTTTTTTCGATTACGTCGAGGCACAGGAACTTCTCAAGAATGGGCACATGAAAAATATTGTTATAGAGAAAAACATCGCCCATAAGTATTCAGTTGGCATGATCTTGATTGGAAACTTTGTGGCAGATGATGAAAGTTTCTTTACATGTTGGAGACGTGAACTTGTGGATAACAGAGAAATAGAACGGGTAAAGTGAACATTAATTAGTCTTTAATTTAGAAACAGTAACCACCTGCCGGATTAATTCATAATGTGAACAGTAATCTCTACTGTTCTCTGTTAATTTATATATGAGCTTCTGTATGGTATTTCTGAGAAAACAGAAGTCGCGACGATCGCCTTGGATAAAGAGACGATCTTAGAGAGTACTAAGTGAATATCGCATTGCCATTTCAATCACGTTTAACAACGTTAGTATAGTGAAATAACGACAAATAAACCTGCCAAAAACGTGAAGCACTTCCATTGTTGTTGTTTTGCTTATTTTCTCGTTTCTATTGTCGGTGTGGTTGGGCTGAGCTCGCTACCACGTTACCACGCAAGGCAATTCTTGATACTAAAATGCAACGATTTCGCCGGAAAAACCGCCGACGATTTGATGGAAAATGCGCAATGAAATCGACGTCAACTGGTACCCATAGAGAGGCTCATATACTGAAGGGAGCTTTAAGGAAGCACTCAGTAACCCCTATTTCTTCCTTTCAAAAGGCTAATTCTGCTCAGATAGTTATGAAGTGTATCGTCCTTCCATGTACATTCTCAAACTCATTAATAATTCATTAAGAAAATACAAAGGAAATTAATGTTTAATGAGTGTTTGGAAATCGGATGAAACACTGCTTAGTATTTGCATCCTTAGTTTCTCCTTCAAAAATGATTTTGTTTGAGAAGAAATATCAAACATTCGACACAGTGTTTCATCACCAGATGAAACACCTCGAAGTTCGTCAAAAATACTCCGCTGCGCGTCGTATTTTCAACTCTCTTCTCGGTGTTTCATCTGGTGATGAAACACTGCATCTCATGTTTGATATATTACGTAAAGCTCAAGCCCCGGTATAACCAAGTGCCACGAGATTTCATTTACATTAGACATAGACATCGACATACTCTATTTAGACACGGTTAAAAACGTCAGTATATAAAAAGATATTAAAAATCTAAACTATACTGTTTTACGTTTTTTGCCGTGTGGGTCAACTGAGGCGAAGGCATTGGTAGTACCGGGGTTTTTAATATGGGGTTTCCTAAAATTTCTGAAACTGAAATGAGTTTTACCGCCGTCAGTTCATTGTAAATCGCAACTTAAGCGATTTCAACTGTTTACTGCCAGCATCGCTGCTTTGCAATTGGCTAGATAAGGCCTGATTAATAGTGAAAAGCCTAACTTCTCACCCTGGTTGAAGTTGGATAGCGCTATCCACCAGATAAATCATTATCCGATGGATTAGTATTAGGGAAACCAATTGCACTATCCGATGGATAGAGATTTATCCGGTGGATAGCGTTATTTACCTTTTGAATTACTCTGGCCTGACTAATACTAAAAAATTAATGGTGGAACTCCCTTGACAGCTGCACCGGTCTGACCGGTCAGTTCTGGTTAATGGAAAACACCCTCAGTTTTAGCTACAAAATTCTTCACTTACATCTTTTGCATGCTTATTTCAGGCCCTTGAGAGGTGTGCAAATAAAGAAAACACGGAGGAACCTACCAAGGGGCAACTGAGTTTCAGTACCTACGTGGTCATAACCAGCGCTGTGTGTTTAATGTTTTTTCTGACCTTGATTGTTATCAGGGAATACCGAAGGCTCAAAAGGCAGAATAACGTTGTAGCCATAAACAACTCATGAGATATAAAGCTGCTTTGTAAAATAGTACTAGTAAGGTTTTACTTACGAAGATAGTTCAACTTTCACAGGACTGGATTGGACACCAACATGGCCTCCTTTTCATTCATAGTTTCAACCTCGTTTCCGGGGTTCTCTCTCTTGCTTCGAGGAAGAGCTCTGGTTGCACAGCTGGTCCCGTGGCTCCCAAAATCTAGGAACCAAAAATAAGGGAGGGGAAGAGGGGTAATAAATAATTGTCGTTATGACAAAAGTTACTCTGTCGGGGCCGGAGAGCAGTTTGCCGCCTCGTTTATTATGAGATGATGGTGAGGGTATTTGCAAATGTCAACAGCACCCAAAAAATGGTATTGCATAATGCAAGAGAGAGAGAGAGAACGATGGGAACGAGGTTGGCTATTTACTTGGTATATCGTGCATCAGGCAATATCTTAACCAAAGCTGAAAATGCCATAACAATAATTTTTAATCTTTAAACTGCTGTCTGGGTGACTTTTGTATTATCTTTTTCTTTTCATGAACTGCACGTGCGGAGTATATATGCAAATTTGCGAAAAGCTGATTTTGCACTTGCAAATCAAGATAGATTTCAGCATCCTGTTGGCAGGACGACGAGCAGGCCTTTTTTCATTTACAAATTCTCTTAACAAATAACCTATTTTGCCTTCAAAATAATTTTATCGTAACTAGCCGAAAGCAACGCTGTTTGCAAGCAACTCAGAAACTCGATCCGGCTATTTTGAAGCAAGAATTTTCTCCCCACGCCAGATAGTATTCCATCGTCCAGTCGACAAAATTTAGTGGAGGACTTACCCCTGCTGTGCAATTTATTGACACACATTTCCACGTGACCAGCCGCAACCAGGTTTCTTTCTCTTAGCAAGAGAGAGAACCCTGGAAAAGAGGTTGTCATCGTTTTGCAACATCAAGATGGCGGACGTGACGTCACATCAAACACTTTATTTTTGCGTAGTCTCTACATGGTAGTTTTTAAGACCTCCCGCAGCCATGCAATCCAATAAAATGTCTGAGATGAATTCGCTTGAATCACGTGACTCTAAACAAAAATGCCGTTAAGGGCTTTTTTACCTGAGTGACAAAAACGCAACAGTAATTACAGTGACCCCGCTCACACGAGTGAAATTCGAATGCAAGCGAACGAACGACTGCTCAGCCTGTTAACAAACCTCTATTTTCTCTTTGGAGATCTTCGAGCGCACGTATGAAAATAAGAAATCGCGGGGTGATTCAATGAACTGTAGCGAAAGGGAGTGGTTGGGGTTGTCACAAACCAAAAGGAAATAAGTCTTTGGACAAATTTTGATTTTCTGAAGTTAAATTTTTCTGAATTTCACACCCCAAGCTAGGCTATTTTTCGTAGGATAAAAGAAACCTAAAGTTTTTAGATGTGATGGAGGGAGGAATAAAATTTTGGGGAAAATAATACTGGAGCCCTTATTTATTTGCAGTGTATTAATAAAAAATACAGTGAGATTTTCAACTATTAACGATAAAAGATTCGACAATTTTCCCTTTCAGCAAATTTTTTTATATATGGCGAGCAAAAAAAAGTGAACAATAGCCACAAAAGAAATGTAAAATGTACTATAAAAGTGATCCAAAGGGCAAGTTAATGGTTCACTGCAGCTCAGAAGGTAGTTGAAGATACAACAATCAACGGCTACATAAATCAGGACGCTATAAGATGGTGATTAACACGGCTTTTAAATGACTGGGATCCTTCATCACTGATCACTCCAACCACATTGTCTGGGAGTTCATTCCAAGGCCGAATTTATACTAGAGACGAATTATCCGTCTAGACGGATTATCCACCTGAGACGGATAATTCCTCTCTAGTATAAATTCGGTGCTAAGACGAATTATGAAGCAAAATTCGTCTGAGGCTGATTCGTCTATTAGCACGTCTTGAAGACGTGTTAACAGACGGATAATTCGTCTTAGACGGATTATCCGTCTCTAAATTTATATCTAGACGGGACGTAGACGGTTTTTTGACGAAGTTTCCACATGAGAGGGACTGGTTTCTATATTTTCGCAATGTTGCCTGTTCGCAATGTTTTCTTTCCCGCGGTCGTTTCTAGACAAATTATGGAGCAAAATTCGTCTTCGGATTTATACTTAGACGAATTATCCGTCTGACGGATAATCCGTCTAGACGGATAACTCGTCTCTAGTATAAAGACTAGCCTCCCCGCAGATGTCCTTTGGGGTTCGTTCCTCACGCATTCATTTCTTCCCCACGGATGAAATTCTCCCCACGGATCGAGTTGAAAGTCGGAACACGTAGGGTTGAGGGACAGAAGCCTTCAAAGCAGCTGGACATTTACTTTTGTCTGCATCTTGTAGAGTATTGATGCAGTTGCTACTAGGCGTCTGTGAAGTAGTGACGGGATGTTCAAATCTGACCTAGCCTGTTGGTCATTCACTCCAATAACCTGATGCGCTTTGGATGGAGTCAAGAAGCTTCATGAAGCACTCATCCAACAAAGTGATGCGTACTCCATGACACAGTAGACAGTTACTCTTTCTTCCCTAGTCAGTTTGTGAGCTACCTTGCGAAGAGTTTCAAGCTTCTGCCCCGCTCTCATGAAGCGACGTTAGAAACGTGCTTGGTCCAGGTGAGCTTGCAATCAACAGTGACGCCCAAAATTTCCAACGCGTTCTTTTCTGCCGGTTTGGTACTACCAAAGAACAGGTCAAATCTTGTTGGATTCCACTTTCTAGAGATACTCATGGCCTTGCACTTTGATTGCTCGAATGTCACTTTTCACTTGTCCGCGCAACTCGTCATTCTATACCGGTCTCGATTTAGGCTTGCAGTTACAGCTTCGCCGTCATCAGAAGATCTTATTTCACAGAAGAAAGTGGAGTCATCAGCATACAAGTAGAGTGGATTCTCGGACTCATTGCCCAGGTCCTCGATTAAGATCGAGAACAAAAGTGGGCCAAGTATCGAGCCTTGAGGTACAGAGGCATTGATAGAAAAAATACTGGAAGATTGGCCAGATAGAACTACTTGGATGGACCAATTAGATAAGTAGTTTTCAATCCAAGCCAGCCACTTGCCAGAGATTCCTTTTTCCTTCAGTTTGAAGCAAGGGCCTTTGTGCCACACTTTATCAAAAGCGCCTTTGAAGTTAAAAGCTATGAGTCGTAATTCGTAACCTCTATCAAGAGCGTTTGACCTCTGCTGACTAAAGATCAGCTGCGCTATGATGAGGCCTGAAGCCAAAATATCGGTCTGAGATAAGATTATGCCGCATTACATACTTTTGTAGCTGGCTATTGATAACTAACTCCATAATCATGCTGATGTTACTAAGGAGTAAGATGGGTCGATGCATGGATGGGTTTGATTTAGTCTCTCTTGTGGACAGGTACGACTGAAGCACACTTCCACCGGTTCGCGAAGACTCCGTGGGAGAAGCATAACGCTAAGAGGTGTGGCTAATTCGGCACTACACTCCTTCAGGACCAGTAAGCCTTGCCTGGATTTAATTTTCTTAAAAGCTGTTAGATGTCCTTGGCTTTTAAGACTGCAGTATCCAGTGGTTTTGATGGGGTTACTTCCACTTCAGGAGCTGGATCCTCTGCATGTTGCAATTGACTTTTGGATGCAAAGGTCTGGCCAAGTTTTTCAACCTTTGCCTTAGCGGAGGTGCAAACAAGGAGACCATCTTCAGCACTGGGATATCAGACCCTGCTGATTTTTCAGAAAGCGTGTTCACTAGCCTCCACTACTGCTTACTGCTGAGGCTGTACCTCTTTCTTGCTTCAGCAAACTTGTCTATGTTCTCCTGAGTGTTATTTTCCTTCATCGTTTTGAACAGGTGGCGCTTCCTGGCTGCAGCTTTTCTGCAGCGATCATCAAACCACGCTTTGTCGCCAGTCTCAGTCCATAGCATCCAATACGATATTGGTTAAGTTGCTACACGCTTGTTCTGAGTCGTCAGGTTCCGTCGGAAGACACTGGGCCAATCCGCTGAGGAGATGTAGCCTCTCATACCCCAGTAGTCCGCTCTATCATAGCGCCAGACACTCCTTCTGTAGGGACTATCTCTGTAGATGGGTACTTGAAGTTTCACTAGGACTGGATTTTAATTCGATGTTCCAAGTTTGCCAAATGTTGTAGCTGTGGAAACTAGGTCAGTAATCACCAATTCGAGGATCTGGTCATCTCTAGTAGACTCAGTGACGATCTGCTACAGTCCAAGGGAGTTGGTCATTTCTAGAGTGTGTCTTCCGGCAGTATCCGTTATGTGGCTTCCTAGCCAATCTGTGAGATAGATATCGAAATCATCAAGCATTACCACAGACTGGGCACCAAATTCAGTTCATCCAGCTTTCGTAAAGTATAGGTGTTCAAGTACTCGATGATTGCACTGTTGTCATTAGGTCGCCTGTAGACAACAGCAACTAACAGTCTCTGCGATTTGAGGGACACTGAGAACCACATCAGCTCAAAGTCTTCTGGGCAGTCTAAGCCTTTGTTATGGGAGATGGCAAGCCTCAAAGCGGTAGACTGCAATATTAATACATCCTTTGATTTAAAAAATCTTTTAAGTTGCAGTAAATTTTTAATTTGCATGTACCGTAGTGTTGTTATTTGCAGCACAATTTTTTATTTGCATGTACTATATTTAATTAGCAGGTAATTTTTTTAGTTTGCATGTACAATTTTTGATTTGATGTGTGACCCTTCTGGGCCACCGTAGGACTTTGACCACAAAAAATACCAGAAAAGTGCCATTAGATTTGTGCAGGTTGTTTTCTTAAAGGTGTGTCAATTTGCACGGCTCTATGAAACGAAATCTAACAGGCGATATTTTTCCTTCGCCCCTTCCCATGAGTCCCCGCGCGCCTCAACTTAAGCCTCATCTTCTCTCACCCCCAAAACACATAAATAGAGACTGGATACGAGTCTGGATTGAGGGCGCTATGCTATTCTAATGGGAATCGTTGTGGAGAACTGGACCAAAGCTGAATTATACGTTGGTCATTAGATGCTACTGTCACTGAATATATAATCACTTCTCACTTGGATAATTTTCCGCCCTTCACCGAGGGCTCCTATTTAGAAACAAGGAGGAACTGGATCCCAAATGTGTCCCGCAATTTTTCCTTGGATGGTTACTGGGGACACGACATTAGCCGAAGTAACCATAGTAGCATCAGCAGATGTAGTAGCTGTAGTAGTGAGGTACTAAATTTTTTTACAGCTGCCACTGATAATGCAGCTGCTTTAGCTACTTCACCACGGTAAATTATTCGAATTATTTCCAGTTCAAGAAGCCATTTGATGCTCACACTCAGGACCGATCCTATATTCAAAAGTTTTCAAAAACCAAAATTCTCTGAAATTTACTTCTCATGTATTCCTATAAAATAGGCTTGCTTCTTAATGTTTTAATGACAAATCTAGTTCATTCGTATAATACGAGAAATTCAAATACTTTCTACTTATTTCTTGCACGAACAAATATAAGACTTTTTGGTATAAGATTTCAGGGTTCTAAAATTTTCAATTCACTAAATAAAAATGTACAAAGTGATGCTGCTATTTCTCTTTTTAAATCCAGATTGAAAACATTTCTTAATTCTCAACTGATTCACCACTTATAAACAATAATTGATTTTTGCTGCTTTTTGTCTGTTTTGTTTTGCTTTCTTTTTATCCTAATTATATTTTTAGTATGATTTCGCCTTTTAGTTATTCATTTTATTATGTAAACACCAATGAAATACCAGGTGAGCTTTCGCGCGAAAACTTGATATCTTCACATGTGAAAATAACATGTTACTATTAAAGTCAAATGGTTTTGTATTTCATTGGTGTTTATATAATAAAGAGAACATTACATGGCCACTTGGAGATACGAAATTTCTCTTCTCGTGTTGAAAAAATATTTTTCAACACTCGAAGAGAAATTTTGTATCTCCACGCGGCCATGTAATATCCTCTATATATTTAGTTTTAGTTAGAAAGTGAGCTTATATGATAAGCCCCAAGGTTTCAATTTGTGCTTCCTGGCCAGAAAAATACTTTTAATGCTTTTACTAACAATTTACGTCTCTTTATTTTTTAACTAACATTTTTGTGATATATTGAATGCCTTTATGTATATATATTTTTTTGTGCAAATAAATAAACTGAACTGAACTTGGGAAATTATACGTAGTACAGTCCTACTTAAGACACTGAATTCGGCTACTGTTATGGGGCAATGTGGGGCAGGATCAGTTTAACTATGAAGTATACAGCTATTTCGAGAAAGGTTGTCGGAAAAAGTGCACGCGACAATCCCGAAAGGTATTGTGGGTGGCTTTGAGTTTACCGTTTTTCAAAAAAATTTAAACGAATGGCACAAGAGATCATGGACGGTATGTTTGCGAATGCTTAAGAAACGCAACAAAGAAGGTTCGACAGCTACAGTGTCAAAAACAGTGTAATGATTACATCCCATACTAGCTTGCGGGATTGTCGCGTGCGCATTTTTTCCCACGACTTTTCTGGAAACAGCTGTATGCCCCTTTCTGATCATCTGGGTCAACATAAGCGGGTACGAATCTACGAAGGCGTCGGCGATAGCAACGAGAACGTCAAAAAAGGAATAGGTTAAATAAATTAAACAACAACCCTGCACGTGCATCATCGCTTTTCTGTCAATTTTTTTGCAGCTCCCTCTCTCCACCGCAAAGGCCACTTTTCGTCGAAGAGGGAAAAATGAAAGCGCGCGGGAACGATGGGAAGTAGGCTGGCCTTGGCCGGGGTGTGACGTCATATCGGTACATGAAATTATACCTTATATGAAGTGTCTAACAAAATACAAATATCTTGTTTGGAAAGATGGAGGACATTTTACTGTTGTTTACGTCGTTTCTGTAACGATCAGAGGGAATGCACTGCAGCGTTCCACAGAATCTGGGGCTGAGACACTTTAGGCTGAGATATCTGACTACGTATCGGAACTTGAGAAGCTCGGATTATGCTGCAGACCGTTAGTTTAGAGAATTGCACAACCAATGTTCGAGAACTGTCTCTATAACCTCTATTTAATATACAGAAGTTATTAACAGTATGCCTGTAAGTAATAACGGGGATAAAAGATCTGTCATATGCACTTTACCACTGGAAGTTGTTTCGTACATATTTAGATTTCTACCTACATCAGACGTGAAGTGTGCATCATTTGTTTGCTATGCATGGTCTCGTGCAGCTGAAGACCCCATTCTATGGAGAGAGGTGTTCATTAGTCTTGGTACAAGAAGCGAACGGTTCTCTTATTTTCTTGTTGACAGCCTTGAGCGACGGTGCATCCAGCA